GCGTGCTTCTCTGCAGAGAACAGCCTGACTGTTGACTTAGCTCTCAGCCTGACCAGCATGCCTGGGAAGAGATGGATGTGGCCAGGCTGGCCTCCCAGAATTCTTCTGGTGGTTTTTGGACGCGTACGCAGTGAAGGGGGAGCGCAGGCATTCACACAGTAAGAGTTTGTGCGGTGGGGGGTAGTTGGCCTCGAGCAGGAGGTGACGAGCCGTTTAAAAACCTGTGACTTCTCCCCGCTTCCCACATGCTCATGACCCTGGCCCTTGTCCTGGGTGCTGTGGTGGCGATCGCGGGGGACGTGTGGCCGTCACACCACACTGGGCGGGCCTGCCTCTCTCCACGCTCGAGGGGCGCACAGGCTCTCCTGCAGAGAAGGGCCGGGATGAGGCCCCGTGGGGCACGAGCGCACACCGGTGACAGGAGGCCGAGAGGGACCATTGTCCCTTTAAACGCGGGGGGTGCGAAGCACAGAGCGAGTGAGCTGGCAGGTGACAGAGGGACGGACGGACGGATGGACGGAAGTGGGGGCTGCACGGCTGAGGCCCCCCCAGAGCCTCCGAGCGCACCCCTGGAGCCTCGAGTCCCCTGCCTCGGCCCCGGGCAGCGGGCAGGGGCAGCGAGTTTTAAGGACATTCTGATTTGGTCTGCGGGGGGCTGGAGGCGAAGACGGGTGGCCGCACCGCGCCGTGCCGTGCCGAGAGTGAATGAGTGCCGAGAGCTCCAGCCACGGTGCCACCGGCGCAGGAGGGGCTCCGGCTATAGGCGTGGGACAGACACACGCACGCAAGAAAGCTGGGATTTCAATTTGCTTGTTTGCTGTTGGTGGGCTCTGGGGTGTCCACCCCACGGCCCCTGGGCCGCACACAGCCCAACAGAACATCGAGAATTTAGTTAAGACATTATGAGACGTTTTTGTGATTACGTGTCGCGCTGTATTTAACGTGGGGCCCAAGACAACCGTTCTCCTCCCAGAGTGGCCCAGAGACGCCGAAAGGTTGGACGCCCCCCGCCCCCCCCCGCCCCCGGTGCAGACGAGGGACCCAGTTCACTGTGGGAGAGGCGGCACGGCCCAGGCCCTGGCGTGGGGGCCGTTCCTCGTCGACGCTGCGTTCGCTTCTCCTAAAGCAACCCGGAGTCTGACGGCCCTGGGGGGGGGGCGGTTGCTTACTTAAGCTCCCAGCCCCGCGGGTCAGTGGCTATAACGGTGCTTCTTTACAGGAACACCGAGAGGCATTGTGGGTTACTACGTATGTCCGCTCCTGAGAGCCACCTCGCTTGGCAAAGGTCGAGATTATTCATCTTGTGATTAGTTTTACTCTGACACCTTCTGAAAAGAGATTGGAGAAGGCTTCCAACGTTGTATAAGAAAGTGAGAGAGAGAGGGAGAGAGAGAGAGGGAGAGAGAGAGAGGGAGAGAGAGAGAGAGAGAGGGAGAGGGAGAGAGAGAGAGAGAGACAGGGAGAGAGAGGGAGAGGGGAGAGAGAGGGAGGGAGAGAGAGACAGGGAGAGAGAGAGGGGGAGGGAGAGAGAGACAGGGAGAGAGAGAGAGGGAGAGGGAGGGAGAGAGGGAGAGGGAGAGAGAGACAGGGAGAGAGAGAGGGGGAGGGAGAGAGAGACAGGGAGAGAGAGAGAGGGAGAGGGAGGGAGAGAGGGAGAGGGAGAGAGAGACAGGGAGAGAGAGAGGGGGAGGGAGAGAGAGACAGGGAGAGAGAGAGAGGGAGAGGGAGAGGGAGAGAGAGACAGGGAGGGAGAGGGAGGGAGAGGGAGGGAGAAGGAAGGAAGAGCGAGTCTACAGCCACACCACCCTGAATGCGCCCAATCTCGTCTGATCTTGGAAGCTAAGCAGGGTCAGGCCTGGTTAGTATTTGGATGGGAGAAAGCAAGAAAGAAAAAGAAAGAAAGAAAGAGGGAAGAAAGCTGAGTGCAGGGCATGGAAAACAGGGACCCGAACGGGCCGGGCTTATTTCAGGTTAATGTGCAGAGCACGCTGCATCCGGCTCCCCCCGGGGTCGGCCGGTGACCGCCTCACTGGGCTCTGAGCTTCCTAGCAGCCAATGCAAAAGTAAAACAATCAGTTAGCAGGACTCACCCCGGCCCCAAGGAACGAGTGAGGGTTTGTCCAGTGGGTGGAGGAGCTGCTGCCCCCTGAGAAGAAACGGAAGAACCAGGCGACACCCCCAGTCGGTCTCATGAGGCACCGACCGGCGCTGAGGCCCCGAGAGCCGAGTTGCTCAGAGCAGAGATGGGGGCCCTGGGACGGGACGGCACCTCCTCCCTGGCCGCTTTAGCCGACGGTCAGTTTGGGCCAGGGGTGGACGTGGGCTCCGCCCAGGCAGACGGCACCTGCGGGACACGCCCAGAACTTCCGAAGGGCCCTGCCTCCCGCCCAGCCCGTTGCCGGGAGCCGGGCTGGGGCGGCGGAAGCACAACGTGAACATGGCGGGAGACACCCCACAGAGGCTGAGCTGAGCTTCGAGTTGAACGAGACAAGGCTGGACACCCCTGGTCTGGACCCGGCCGCACCTCTGCAGCCCCGCCCGTGGGGGACGAGGAACTGGAGGCTCACGGGTGTGGGCACCTGTCTCGGAGCCCTGTCCCCGGGTGTGGTGGGACCGAGTGTCCAGCACCCACGGTTCCAGCCGTGTTCTCCGCTGCTTCTCCACTCCCAGGGGCTCGCCTCAGAGCCCGGCCCCCTCGTGGGGGAGCGAAGCCTTCCCTGACCCTGAGACCCTCACCTCGGGGCCCTGAAATGCAGCTCGCCCTGGGGACCCTCCCTGGAGCCGGGCGGGAACTGTTTCTGGGAAGTTTGGGGTCTTCTGGGAAAACGGTTGTCCCGGTGGGCAGCTCCTAAGGGGGATTTCGACTGGGCCAGAGAGGTCGCGGCGAGACAGCCTGCCGGCGCCCGGCGGAAAACCAAGGAGCCGGCCTTGGCCCTCAGCGGGGCCCACTGGTGGGGACGCTCACGTGAGCAGGGACCGCCTGGCGCAGCCTGCCGTGTGGCTCTGGTGGGAGCCGGCCCACGTTTCAGCTGCTTTAACCGCGTCCCCCTGTCCTCTCTGGATCTGGAAGAACCGGACTGTGGTCTCCTGGGGCGGAAGACAGAGGGACGAGGGACCGGGTACCTGCGTCCCAGGCCCGGCCCCCTGAGCTGGCGGGAGTCACTCCCTCTCCGGGCCACCGCAGCGGCCAGACTCCTGGAGGCCCTTCCCGGCTCGGCCCCGACCTCTCCCGGGGGCAGGCGCTCCTGCGGAGTGGGGCGCCGGTGGTCCCGGTCCCCGTCCTGCTCGGTCCTGTCTCCCCTGTGCCGACAGGGCGGTGGCAGCTCTCGGGGTCCAGGCCTGGCGTGTTCTGTGCGTGGTTTCCCGGGAGCGGCGTGCGGGGCGCCCACTGGTGGGCAGCCGCGGCGTGGGGCTCACGGCAGCCAGAAGTGCACAGCATCCCTCAAGCGAGCCTCTCGGGCGGCTGCCCCTCCCGGGCCACCGGCCGCCTGCCCGCCCGCCGGCTGCAGCGCTGGGGTGGGGGATGGCCCTCCTTCGGGGCAGCAGCCGTTGCGGGCTCTGGCACTCCTCCGCTCTGGGAAGCTGGGAGAGGGAGTCGGCGCCTCCGTCTAGGAGGGGGAGGGGGCCCGGAGCCACCAGCACAGCCCAGAGCAGAGTCAGAAGCGCCGGCTCTGCCGCGGGGTCCGCCCATCACACTCCTGGCCCGGCCCCGTCGGGTTCCCAGGCAGGCTCCGGGTCTCGGTGGGGAGGGTGTGTCTTTCTGCTGGCGGACCGACCGAGGGGCTTTCTGTCCTGTTTCCCTCTGAGGGGTTTCCATGGGTTTTTTCAAGTTCGTGGGTCTTTGCTTCAAGGCGCCTCTGCCTTTGGTCCCAGCCAGCCTGCTGGACCTCGAACTTCCAGCCCGCACCCCCAGAAACCCGACTCGCACCCTCCCCAAATCGTCCGGCTCCCCTCAAGGTCTGGACACAGCAGCGCCCGCCCGGGGCGGCTGGCTGAATTGCCCAGCTCCGCCTCCCCTATCGGCTCTGCATCAGTTTCGGTTGGCTGGGCTCCCCTGGGTCCTGTTTCCCGATTCCACAGTGACTGTTTGCTTCTCCAACTGCACGGGGCCTGTTTATGCTGAAAATGCATTTCTGCTTATCTGAAGTGTAAGTGCCGCTGAGAGCCCCACGGGTGCAGCGGTGGCCACACTGTGTGCTAGGAGCTCCTGTCCCCTAGTGCTCTGCAGGCTCCCCCGGGCCCCTCGGCTCAGAAGCGCTCCATCCGGCCCCTCTGCAGTGGCCACGGCCACGGCCGGAGGCTGGTGCCATCGTGGGGCTCACCGCCTTTGCGTCCTGTCTCTCGGGGGCCATTGCCCTCGGCCGACTGACGGCTGTCACATCGAGACCCGATATTCCACTCGCACCACCCACTCCTTCCTTGTCTGTTCGGTTTACCCAGCACAGCGAGCCTGGGCCTTGTGCCCCCCCCCCCTTGGGGGGGTGGGGGTGCTCATCTCTGAGGGCCTGGGGCCCAGCCCGGGTGCAGACAGGGCAACGCTGTGGGCCCGGCCCCTGCACGGGGGCGTCTGCCGGGTCTGCGCCCCGGTCTCCCGAAATCCGCTCCCCGGAGAGAAGAACGCTCTGGAGCCCTGGGGGCCGGGGGCAGGGGGATCAGCCGTCGGGAGTCCTCCCACCTGCTCGTGACGGGCGGGCCGGGCCCCGGGCTTCACCAGAGCAAAGGGGGAGTCACCCAGTGGGCCGCAGTGCGGTGCTTGTCCGATTTGGGACCAAACGGCAGCCCGGCCCAGGGTCAAAGTGCGGGCGGACGACCGAACGGTAACCCGTGTGGAGGTGGATTCGGGAAGAGAAAGAGGCCGAGGTCACCGTGCCGCAGCCGGGGCCCCGGGGGGCTTTGGGGGACTCGGGGCCGCCTTCCCCACGTCCACTAACCAGCCCCTCCCTCCCGGGGCCTCCGGGAGGACGCGTGACGGTCTCCTGTCTTTGGTTCCCCCGGTGCAGCCGTGTGCCGCTATCCCCTGGGCATGTCGGGCGGCCACATTCCGGATGAGGACATCACCGCGTCCAGTCAGTGGTCGGAGTCCACGGCTGCCCGATACGGAAGGTGAGGGCCGTCCCCAGGACCGGGGGCTCTGGGCGGGGGCGGCGGGGGCTGGAGGGGCGGGGAGGACCGCACGGGCTGGTCCCCCGCCGCCACGCTGTGCGTTTCCAGGGAGAGAGTTCCCGGTGCTGGTCTGGTGCCATCCAGACCACGGTGGCCCAGAGCCACCTCGCAGCCGGGGCTCAGTGGTCCGCGGGGGCTTGTGTTCCGTTCTCACTGGGAGATGCTGGGGGCGGGGCTCGGGGTGACACTGGGGGCGGGGAGGACCGGGTAGGACACTGGGGTTAGAGACCCCGTCCTCTCCCTGGCCCCCTTCTCTGTGGAGCCCCCCACTCCGTGTGACGCGCAGTGAGGGCCCCCACAGGCCTCCCCTCCGTCTGGGGCCCCAGGGCGGCACGTGGCGCGTGCCTGGGCTCCAACGCCAGGGGTCCCACGGAGACACAAACACCTTCCCTCAAACCACTGCGATCCGACCCTTTGGGGGCACGGCGTTGACTGCCGCTCCCCGGGCGTCACCCACAGGAGAAGCAGCCCCCCTAAATTCCGTCTGCAGGGTCCAGGACGGGAGTGGGCGTGGGGCTGGAGAGGGACACCGGGGGGCAGGGGACCCCTGTGAGGGAAGGCACACAGCAGGGGAGAGGGGACGCGGTCACAGGGTCCCCACCGGAGCCCGGCGCCGACTTCACGACCCTGCTCCCCGGCAGCCGGACACACCCGCACCCCCCATGCCCACCATGGGCTTCCGCTCAGCTGGGCGGCTGTGCCCACACCGGAGACCCTGGGGCCCGCCGCCCCCCCAGGACTCAGCTCCCAGGGGGCGCGGGGCCTGCGTTGTCCTGCTGAGACCCTCGGGGGAGGGGCCATGCATGGCCGTGGGGAGGGCTGCACGGCGTGGGACCTCCCTGAGGTGCCAGGTCAGGACGGAGCTGGGCCCCGTGTCACCCAAGGGCCTCCAGCTCCCGGTGGTGGCTGCCCTACGGGTTCCTGGGGCCCACGGAGAGGCGGGGGCCCAGCCCCCGGCGGGCACGGCGGTGGCAGTCTGACCGCTGGGGAGGGAGAGCCCAGGGCGCCCGCCTGGCCCAGACTCCTGTCATCCTCTCCCAGGACGGGCAGCTGCTCGCCGAGGGCTGGGCGGCGAGCCCCGGGTCTCACGCTTGGTGCCCCCTGTGCTGCAGGCTGGACTCGGAAGAAGGGGACGGCGCCTGGTGCCCTGAGGTGCCGGTGGAGCCGGACGACCTCAAGGAGTTTCTGCAGATCGACCTGCGCAGCCTGCACTTCATCACGCTGGTGGGCACCCAGGGCCGCCACGCCGGGGGCCACGGCATCGAGTTCGCCCCCATGTACAAGATCAACTACAGCCGGGACGGCAGCCGCTGGATCTCCTGGCGGAACCGGCACGGGAGGCAGGTAGGCGGCGGGACGCCCAGGCCCCGCGTGGCCGCGGGAGGACCTCACGGGCCGTGTGTGGGGCCGTGGGCCTGTGGGTGGCCGTGAGACCCGGCGCGGGGCGCGGGCCCACCGGGTCAGCGCTGTCCTCCGCCCTCTCCGCAGGTGCTGGACGGGAACAGCAACCCCTACGACATCTTCCTGAAGGACCTGGAGCCGCCCATCGTGGCCAGATTCGTGCGCTTCGTCCCGGTCACCGACCACGCGACCAACGTGTGCATGAGGGTGGAGCTGTACGGCTGCGTCTGGCTGGGTGGGTGTCGGGGCGGGCGTCCGGGCCCCCGCCCCAGGGAGGCGGCTCGGCCCTCCCTCTGCGGCCGAGGGGGGGAGGGGGTTTCCCTCGGCCGGCCCGGGGTGCGGCCCGTCCCCGGGGCGGAGCGTCCCTGTCGCCCCGCTGACCGCCACGGAGGCGGTTCCTCGGGGCTCCCACGCCTGCATGCAGTGCAGACGGCGCCTCGGGGCTCCCGGGGCTGGCCGGCCACCCCGTCCCGCGGGTGCTGACCGCCCGCGTCTCCCTGGCAGACGGCCTGGTGTCCTACAACGCCCCGGCGGGGCAGCAGCTGGTGCTCCCCGGGGGCTCTGTCATCTACCTGAACGACTCCGTCTATGATGGAGCTGTGGGCTACAGGTGAGCTCGGGGGGCACTCGGCTGTCAGGACGGGGGGAGGGCCACCGGAAGGGACCCCTTGGGACCGACGATCCATCAGTCAACCCCGACCGGCGTTCACGCTGGCCCGCCCTGGGCACCGGGAGCCCACCCGGACGAGCTCGAACTGGCAGTCTTCACGTGCAGGGGCGCTGACCCCTGTGCCCGCGCCCCTCACGTGCCGGGAGGTCAAAGCAAAGGCGGGCAGACCATGAGCCCCACTAAGCTCCTCTGGGGCCGGGAATGTCCACGTGGACGGCACTGGCCACGTTGTGAGTGAGACTCACGCACCTTCCTCGCTCCTGGTCTGCAAATCGGATGAACATGAAATCTAACGGTGTCTCCCGTCGGCAGGGTTTCAATACAATTCCCAGTTACAGCTTCCGGTGTTAGTTTCTGTCGGTTTCAGGGGTACAGCATAGGGATTGGACGTTTCTGAGATTTGCGCAGGGGTCCCAGCGTTAGGTCCAGCGCCCGCCTGGCCCCGTGCAGAGTAGCGGCAAGACCCCCGACTTGGCCGGGGCTGGACTTCCCAGCCCGGAGACGGTTCCGGGACCGCCCGTCTGCACTTTTCAGCCCCTCCCCCTTTCCACCCGCTGGGCGCCGGGGTGCTGGGCTCTCTCGCCCTTGAGTGTGATGTCAGGTCGGGCGTCGAGGCGTGGGGCGGAGAGGCTGGAGCCGACTCCCTGAGCGGGGACGACACCCAGTCGAAGGCGCGTGGGGACGGTTTCCCCGCAGCCCCGGGGCCGGGCGGCCGCCGTGCGCTCCCTCCCTCGCTCCCCGGCTCCCTCGCTCGGGGGCCCTTAACCAGCGCATTTGGTAACGCCGAGTCGTTATAAAGAGACTCGTTACACGGAGTCCGTCTTTCAGAAGGGGTCAGGGCACCCAGGGTTGCGGAGAGCCCCGGAAACGGCGGGATGTTGCTGGAACGTTTTGCTGCTGAAGAGGCAGCCAGAGTCAGACGCTCAGTAAAAGTCGTCTCTGGGGAACGTAAATGTTCGCTGACGCAGGACGTCCTGGGAGACCCCGGGCCAGGCAGGGGTCGGGCTGCCCGTGTGCGGTTGCTCGGGTCCCAGTATGGGTGAGACGATGCACGGTTCCCACTTGAACATGCCACCTAACGTGTCTTAGCGTGTGCTCGAGTGTGACACTGTGATGCAACAGGATGCCGCGCCTGTGTCTCGGTCATAGAAGGTTCTGGGATAAGCCGGGGCATTCTCTGTGCTGGGCCCTGGGTCCAGGGCCCTTCACCACCCGCCCCCTCCCCCCCACCACAGCTGGCTTCCCCGGAGCCCGGGGGCGGGTGAGGGGAGAGCCCTGCCCTGGACGGGCCCTTCACCATGGGCACCTCTGTCCCCTCCCCCCCACCCCGCCGCGGCCGAGCAGCATGACGGAGGGGCTGGGCCAGCTGACGGACGGGGTGTCGGGCCTGGACGACTTCACGCAGACGCACGAGTACCACGTGTGGCCTGGCTACGACTATGTGGGCTGGCGGAACGAGAGCGCCGCCCATGGCTACGTGGAGATCGTGTTCGAGTTTGACCGCGTCAGGAACTTCACCACCATGAAGGTCAGCGGGCCTGCGCGGCGGTGCGGGGGGAGGGGGGACGGAGGGGCGGGGCCGCAGGACAGGCTCCCGACCTCCTCCTGGGCCAGCGCGGCGACCGCCCCAGGCCACCGCCCCTTGAGATCTGGGGTTCCAGCCCCGGGACGCCCTCTCAGCACGGTCTCCAGGACCCACAGCACGCTCAGGCCCGTGACGGAGTTGTGCCTCCTCCCACGGTCAGGAGAAAAAAACTAATTTCGGGCCAGCAGTTGGCCTGGCCTTTTAGCAGTGCAGCTGTAGGCTATGATTTCAAACTGGTGGCTGTCCCTGGGAGAGTGCTGACGGTCCCCCCCCAGGGAGGGGCTGCCGGCAGGCTGACCTCCGTGGGAAAAGGGGGGGCTTCGCATTTCCAGCCTCTGCCCACCCGCAGCACCCAGGTCCTGAGAGAAGATTCCTGCTCTTCTGTCCCCCAGTTAATTTATTTTTAAAGGTTTCATTTATTTATTTTTAGAAAGAAGGGAAGGGAAGGAGGAAGAGAGGGAGAGAAGCATCCATATGTGGTTGCTCCTTTGCACCCCCTACTGGGGACCTGGCCGGCAACCCAGGCACGTGCCCTGAGTGGGAATTGAACCGGCGACCCTTTGGTTCACAGCCCGTGCTCAATCCACTGAGCCGCACCAGCCAGGGCTGTCCCCTGTTCTTGTCTATCGTCATTTGTCTGCATCGGGTGTCAGTTCTCTTACTGGACCTCAGGCCCCTCCCAGGAGGGGACCCTGCTCTCCGACCTCTGTCCCTGGCACGTCACCTATGCCAGTGAGATGGATGCCTGTGATGACCCGATTATAACGGCGGTGTTGCCTACGCCAGCCTTCACGGTCACAGAGGTCTCTGCCGCCTCCGGCGCAAGGAGGAGCAGGCGTGTGGCAGGAACAGGGTCGGGGGAGGAGCCTTTCCTTCCCAGCGCAGGGACCCTTGCAGGAGAGCCGGCCAGGCGGGAGGTGCCGTGGGGACTCGGTGACCGCTCCCAGTCCGGGCAGTGGGTTCCGGAGGGGGCTGGAGGGTGGGTGACCCTGGAGGTCTCAGTGCGTGGCCGGCGTGCTGGCGCTGGGGAGTCCCTGTGCCCACGGGCCCCTGTGTCCCCCCCCCCCGCAGGTGCACTGCAACAACATGTTCGAGAAAGGCGTGAAGATCTTCAAGGAGGTGCAGTGCTACTTCCGCTCGGAGTCCAGCGAGTGGGAGCCGCAGGCCGTCTCCTTCCCGCTGGTGCTGGACGACGCCAACCCCAGCGCCCGCTTCGTCACGGTGCCGCTGCAGCACCGCATGGCCAGCGCCGTCAAGTGCCAGTACCACTTCGCCGACACCTGGATGATGTTCAGCGAGATCACCTTCCAGTCGGGTGCGGGCCGCGCGCCGGGGCGGGCCGGGGGCGGGGCCTCCCCGCGGGGTGGGCGGGGCCTCCCCGCGGGGTGGGCGGGGCCTTCCCGCGGCGGCGCCCTGGCTGCCCCGGTGGGGGCGCAGGAGGGGCCGGAGGGCTCGGGGCGTGCACGCGTTGGTGGGAAAGACCCGGCGCACGGAGGGCGGGGACAGTGCAGTGCGACCTGCGAGGGAGGCCCCGCGGGTGCAGCCCCTCGAGGCGCAGGGGCGTGGCCCCGGCGCCACAGTTGAAGGGAAGTGTCTGAAGACACACGGAGCCGGGAGGACGGCGCGCCCGCCCGTCCCTCGCTCTCCTGTCCGCCCCGCCTGCCCTGCCGGCTCCGGTCCCCGCTCCGCTGCCGTACTTTGGGGCGAATCTGAGACCCCGCCCGCCCGCCCGAGCATGGCTGGACACTCTCAGAAAACAGCGCGGTCTGCGTGCGGGCGACGCCGTGGTCACGCCTAACCCCGGTCACCGGTCGGCTCGGTGACGCCCCCACGCCACCTCGTGGCCTGCCCACGCTCCGTCCGCCACAGGGATCCGAGCAGGGCCCTCTCGGGGCACCGCCTCAACTATATTCCCAAGTGTCCCCTTTACGCGGGAGCAGCCCTTTCCCAAACCCTGCGTCCGGTCTGGCCGGTGGCGGGTGCTCGCCGACTGGCGCAGCTGCATCCGTCTCCGCCTGTACCGGGTGTAGTTTGGCCGAGGGTTTCCCTACACTGCTTTAAAAAAGTTCTTTTTCAGGGTTGGGGGAAGCAACTGATTGTTTTATTGGGGGGAATTTTGCTCAATTAGCCCGAGAGAGTGTTCGGGGCCCCCGCCCCAGGCCCAGTCCCCGGCCGAGTGCTCTGTCCACTTTGCTGACTTTGGGCCTCGCTTCTTCCGCACGCTTTACGGTGACGTGTGGCCCCAAACCTCCCCATCACCATCCCTTAAACCTCCTTGTACCGTGGCATCTAGTGTACAATAATCTAAACAAAAATTTTACCAAAGCTGCCCTTATGCCATAGAAGACTGGTGATACTTTTGTTCAGTTCGTTACATGAGGTCACTTTTAAACTCTTTTTTTCAAGGATTTTACTTATTTATTTTTAGAGAGGGAAGGAAGGGAGAAAGAGAGAGAGAGAAACATCAGTGTGCGGTTGCTGGGGCCGTGGCCCACAACCCAGGCATGTGCCCTGACTGGGAATCGAACCTGTGATGCCTGGTTCGCAGCCAGTGCTCAATCCACTGAGCTACGCCAGCCAGGGCTCACATGAGGTCATTTTGAAGAAAGGCTGGTGGCAGCCCAAGGAATCGAGTTCACCGTGTGCTGGGTCACGACCCGCCTCCCTTAAACCCGAGGCCTTGTGGCCCTGCCCGCAGCCCTCACCCCGACCCCTGACCCTAACAGACGCCGCCATGTACAACAGCTCTGGAGCCCCGCCCACCGCGCCCTCCGCACCCGCCACCTACGGTAGGTGGGCGTCCTCCCTGGGGACACAGGAGGGAGGGAGCCCCTGGAGGGGGCAGGGGGCCATGCAGGTGGCTGTGCAGGAGGCCTGGCCCCCGGGGGTGAGGAGGGGCCCTGGGAAGGCAGACGGCTCACCCCCAGAGTTACAGGCGCCCACGCGCTCTCTGTGGCTGGGTCGCTGACTCGGCAACCCAGCCCAGGGGGCCCCCGTTGTTCCCATTGCTCCACGTGGGTTTGGGGAGCGAGGAGCAGAGGCAGGGAAAGGGACATTTCCACCTGCACCCCATGGTGGGGGGGGTGCTCCCTGGGTGGGTGGGGCTCCAGGAGCGAAACGCCAGGCTCTCTGATGGAGCCCGTGGGTCCCGGTGCTCTCTGGCCCCAGGAGCCGCCCTCTGGGAATGCGTGACCCCGGGTGTCCAGGGAGGCCCCTCTGCCACCTCGTCCTGCCTCAGAGACGCAGTGTCCCCCGGGCTCACGCGGTGTGACCAGGGCCCCACAGACCCAGGCCGCAGGGACGGGGAAACACAACTTTGTGAGGAACGGAAAACCTGCCCGTTAGTGGGTCTGCCACTTGAGGAGGCGGAGCAGCAGGAGGCGCTGCTGTGCCCGGGGCGGGCGGGGGGTTGCGGTGGGCACAGAGCCCAGAGCCCAGAGGAGGTGGAGTGGCCGCTGGAGAGATTGTCCTGAGGGCCAGGTTCTGCCGCCTGTCCCGGCCTGGTCCCCGGCCCCCCCCGCCTCACGAGAGGCTCATCGGCCCCGTCTCCGTGTCCCCGGTCCCAGACCCCATGCTGAAGGCCGATGACAGCAGCACTCGCATCCTGATCGGCTGCCTGGTGGCCATCATCTTCATCCTCCTGGCCATCATCGTCATCATCCTCTGGAGGCAGTTCTGGCAGAAGATGCTGGAGAAGGTGAGGCCGTGCCGGAGCTGTGGCTGCCCAGGCGTGGGGGCGGGCTGGGAGGAGGGCCTGCGGGCGGCGGGAGCTCACCGGGCCGCCGGGAAGCGCGGGGACGGAGGGGCTCGTAGCTGCAGCAGCCAGAGGGGCGTGAGCACGTCCACGGTCTGGTTTCCAGAGCGAACTCCCTGGACCCTCCCCAGAAACCCCTCCCAGCGTGTGAGATCTCCGCCCGGGCGTTGCCCTTGGAGATTCTGGTCCCCTGGGGGGTGGGGGTGTGCCGCAGGTGCATTTTTATCCTCCCCCAAGGATAGCGTTGATTTGAGCGAGAGCGAGAGAGAGAGAGAGAGAGGGAGAGAGAGAAACATGACATGAGGGAGAAACGTCAACCAGTTGCCTCCCGCATGCGCCCAGACCGAGGAATCGAACCCGCAACCCTTTGCTGTATGAGACGATGCTCCAGCCAACGCTGCCCCCGGGCCAGAGCCCTTGCCCTTTAAATACAAACTAGCACGTGGCTCTGAGGGCCAACCCAGACCTCCCGACAAGTCCCCGACAATGAGTGCTGTTCCCTCGCTGCTTTGCCGTTTGCTTGGTCGCTTGATCGGAGGGCGTGTGTTCGGAAAACGTGCCAGCCGCGTCCTCACGACCGTGTCCCTACTTCGCTGAGCACTGGAAGTCCTGACCGTCCATCCCTCGTCCGTCCCCGTCTGTCCTCAGAGGGCGTCTCAAATTATCGGAGCAGTTTTTCTTCCGTCTGTCTAACACGTAACGTCCGCAGAGACTTTCGGGCATGTTGTTGCGCTGGGACCTCGTCGAGGGTGGGGAGCTGGGCGCGGCTGCAGGGAGGGTCTTCCGGCCAGCTCACCCGACACGCTCCGTGTCCTATGACTCCTCCCAGTTGTCAGTATTTTTTTTTTAAGATCTTATTTATTTATTTTTAGAGAGAGGGGGTGGGAGGGAGAAAGAGGGAGAGAAACATCAGTGTGTGGCTGTCTCTCATGTGCCCCCCTACTGGGGACCTGGCCTGCAACCCAGGCATGTGCCCTGACTGGGAATCGAACCGGTGACCCTTTGGTTCGAAGGCTGGTACTCGACCCACTGAGCCACACCAGCCAGGACTCATTTGTCAGTCTTGAAATATGTTCACTTCTTTTCTTTCAAAACATACATATTTCACCCAAGGTGGGACCTGTGTGACTTCCTTGGTTCCTTGGGCCAGGTAGTGACCTTCTGGATGCAGCAGCCAAGTGCCCCTCGCTCCTGGGGGCTCCTGAGGGTTCATGTTTCTGTGCCTGGCCGTGGACGGCCCCCCGGTCTGTGAGCTCACGTGGCCGTGGACTCTGAGCGGTCAGCGGAGCCCTGGGCTGTGCGGGAGGGAACGGGGGCCGGCAGGGCCTGACCGATGTCATGCAGGGAAGGGGCTTTCGGGGACCAGGCCTGCCTGTAGGGGAGCAGAGGAGGAACAGGGCCCCTGAGGGTGGCCTGGCTCTTGGGAACCCCAGACGCAGGACAGGAGGCCGGGGCTCGAGGGGGGCCCGGGGGACGAAGGGTCTGGAGCACGGCCCGCGATCCCTCCCAGCCAGGTCCGCAGTCTGTGTCCGGGCGAACCGGTTCACTTTAAGATTGTTCTAGGCGGCGGTATTCCCCAGAACGGAGGGTCTGCTTGCCTCCCTTGCGGGCCTCTGTCATCGCTCCAACAGCGCTTTCCCCGGAGGAAAGCTCCTGGCCCACAACCCGCGCCCAGAGACTGGAGGGAGACGCCCACGGCAAGCGTGCCCCTCGGGAAAACGCTGGGCACTGGCCGGGCAGTCCGGGGAGAGGGGGGCCTGGCTGGTGGCCCAGTTGGCGTGGGTGGACGGGGGTCGCCGGCCAGCTTGAGGCTGCGGGGCTGAGGGGGGGGTCCTCACCAGACAGCCCGCAGGACGGGGCTGGGAGCAGGGGTCTGTGCCCTGCACTCTACACCTGCTCCTCTCAGACCCACCGCTGGCCACGCTGCTTGGATTTTCTTCTGAAAGGACCGGGCTGCCCTCCCAGGCTGGGAGGGAGTGTGGCCTGGAGACTCTCCGGGGACAAAGGGAAGAAGGGGAGACAAACTTTGCCCCTGACGACTGGACTTTGTCCTTCAAAAACCTCCTTCTGCCCCGTGCGTCCTGAGCAAGATGACTCAGGAGGCCCTGGAGGGACGCAGGACTTCTCCCTGCGCGGGAGTTCTCGGCGGACGTTTAAATGTGCACCCCCACCCCCAGAGACATTGCTCGTAGGCCACCCTGATGGTGCACCCTGCACGCTCTCTTTGGGAGACTGCACCCTGCGTGCTGAGCCTACTGTGTGCCAGGCTCCTGCCGAGTGCTGGGGACTTTCCTGCAGCAGGCGGGCTGCCAGGCTGGGGGCGGCCCAGGCGTCCGAGTCTCTCACTGCCCCCCCCGTGTGTGGTGACGAACCAAGGGGCTGCCCATGTCCAGGTTCCGGCAGGTTTTGGAGGGAGCAGACAGGTCACCTTAGGTAGGGTGAGGGCTGGCTGTTCTATTCCTGCGTGAGGTGTGACCCGCCTCCGGATCCCTCTGCCCTTCTCTAGCCATTTTAATTTTGGTTCCCAAAAACGTGGGGCCCGGTGACAGGGCGAACCAGCGGTTTGCCACGTGACAGCGAATTTGGGTGAGTTAACCGGCATCTGAACTCAGTTTACAGCTGATCTGTGCGGTGCAGGGCCGGCCAGCCGAGTCCTCTCTTGGACACAACGCCGGCCAGCCTGAGGGTGGGCTCGGGGGTCACACTGATAGGTTCTTCCAGCGTCAGGTGAACCACAGGTGCTTCAGGGCAGCCGGCAGCACAGAGGTCAGGTGGCACTTGCCCTGAAGGAGTGAGGGGCCGTCCTGGGTCACCCGGCACCCCTCCTGGGAGCCAGCGGGCGCGTGCGGTGCGTCTGGAGATGGGGAGCCGGACGCAGAGGGGACGCAGGGTCCCTCTCATGTAGCCAGCACCCCCCTTCGCCTCCCCTCCCCCGCAGGCCTCCCGGCGGATGCTGGACGACGAGATGACCGTCAGCCTGTCCCTGCCCAGCGAGTCCAGCATGTTCAACAACAACCGCTCCTCGTCGCCCAGCGAGGAGCAGGGCTCCAACTCCACCTACGACCGCATCTTCCCCCTGCGCCCCGACTACCAGGAGCCCTCCCGGCTCATCCGCAAACTTCCGGAGTTCACGCCGGGGGAGGAGGAGCCAGGTGCGGGCCGGGCGTGGGCGGGGCCGAGGGAGGGGCCTGGGCCCGAGGGGCCGCTGTGCCGTCTCTCCGACGGTTAGTGGGGTGAAGCCCCCGCTCCTTCTCCGTCTCTGAGCGCCTCCTCTTTGCTCCTGCCCGAGCAGAAGTTGGCAGGGGGCCCTGTCTCTGGAGGGGAAGCGAGGGGACCACAGGGACCTCCAGCAGGGCAACTCCCTGGTTTTACGCAGGAGGAAGTGCCCCGGCCAGGGACCTGCCCAACTCGGGGTGCACTTGGGGCTGGAGCTTCCGCTGGAGGAAACAGCCCTCGGTCCCAGCTCGCCCGCCCCTTGGGCCTCTGTGGCCTTGCCAGGGCCGATTGCTCTCTGGCGGAAGCGTATCGGAATCGCACCAGATTTTATTACGAGAGTGACCGTTCTCGGCCTCGCTGGGTGAAACGGGGCTGGCTGGCTGCCGCCCCGTGTAGAGAAACTGGTGTGGATCTGGCGGTGACAGCAGGGGGGGGTGCTGGGGGCGTTGCTGAGGCTTGGCTCTCCCCGAGGTCGGCCACAAGGGCATCCCACGGGGACACAGTGGGGGCGGGGGGACAGACCACCCGCGGGAGTGCCGGCTCCCAGGGGTCGGTGCTTGGTCCTTGGAGGACAGAGAGGAAGGGAGCGCTGGACTCGGGTCCCACAGGCGGCGAGAATAAGGGAGTAAACGCCACGGTTTCTGGGCTGGCCGACTGGCCCTATTTCCTGAAGTCTAAAACATCCCCCCTTATATTTTCATCTCCTCCCTTAAATTAGGGAGTGTCTGAAACTAGATCATATACATTTGATCAGAAAAATGTTTAAAGATTTTATTTTTAGAGAGAGGGGAAGGGGAAAGAGAGGGAGAGAAACATCCATGCATGGTTGTCTCTCACACGCCCCCTACTGGGGACCGAGCCCGCAACCCAGACATGTGCCCTGACTGGGAATCGAACCAGTGACCCTTTGGTTCCCAGGCCAGCACTCAACCCACTGAGCCACACCAGCCAGGGCTGGTCAGAAGCATCATAAATACCTAGGCCATTAAATCAGCAACAGGGTCTCACAAGGAGAGAGACCTGCTGTGAGAGCACCAGCCTGTAGCATCCCTGCCTTTCGGAGCCGGACCTTCCTGCCTGGCTTTCCCGCAAGGTCACCCAAGGACAGGCCCCTGTAGCCTGAGAGAGAGTGAGGGCCAGGCCCGCGGCCTCCCCACTAAAGGCCACGAGGGCAGCCTCTGAGGAGCCCCGTGGGCGAACCTCGCGTGGGGCCCCAGGGACACAGGCCTGCCCCCTTCCGGTCCCTCAGGGCGCCCCCCTGCAGAGACCCCCGGAGCCGCCTGCACCAACCCTGCCCCTTGTCTCCCAGGCTGCAGTGGCCTGGTGAAGCCGGTCCAGCCCAGCGGGCCGGACGGGGTGCCCCACTACGCCGAGGCCGACATCGTGAACCTGCAGGGGGTGACCGGGGGCAACACCTACTCTGTGCCGGCGCTCACCATGGACCTGCTGTCCGGCAAGGACGTGGCAGTGGAGGAGTTCCCCCGGAAGCTGCTGACCTTCAAGGAGAAGCTGGGGGAGGGCCAGTTTGGGGAGGTGAGTGGGGTCCCGTGCCAGGCCTCGGCTGTGCCAGCCTCCGGCGGTTTCCCAGGTCTCCCGCTAGGTAGACGTTCTCACAGCGGGCCAGCTGCGGGGCTCACCAGATGTCCTGAGAACCACTCAGTGTTTGCAAATGCTGTCCAAGGGGACCCAGAGGGCAGGGCCCCATGAGATGCGACCATCCTTCACAAACTGCCCCGGGGACACCCGCTGCTGAGAGCCGCTTCTGCTTCCACTTTTTCCTCTTTTTTTTTTTTAAGGTTTATTTATTTATTTTGAGAGAGAGAGAAAGAAACATCTGTGTGCGGTTGCTGGGGGCCATGGCCTGCAACCCAGGCATGTGCCCTGACTGGGAATCAAACCTGCGATGCTTTGGTTCGCAGCCCGCGCTCCATCCACTGAGCTACGCCAGCCAGGGCCACACTTTTTCCTCTCTAACGAGAGCTTTGTGCGAAATGGTCAGAAGCAGCCTTGCCCGGCGCTGGGTCCCAGAGGCACCCTCTCGGGGCCAAGTCTCCGGCCGAGACCAGTAGGAGCCCTCCCTCCGCTGAGCAGCCTCCGAGTCAGGCCCGCCGCGCCTGCCCCTCCCTCGGTCCCTGACCCCCCGGAGAGCGCGCCGCGGGGACCGAAGTTGCGTGGAAAGCTCCGCGCTGCCCTCTGCTCTCCGGCTGTAATGTTTGGTCATCGGGGCCCTGTTCCCGAAGGTCAGGGGACAGCCTGTGTCCCCTGTGTGTAGGTTCAGTGTGGCAGGAGGTGACGCGTGTCCCCGACTGTCCCCGGGCTAAAGGTGCAGGCCAGCGATCCCGATCCCGTGCTCAGGGATTGTTCGTAGAGAGGAAATTGCACGACCCGGAGAACTCCGGGCGCTCGCACCGAGCCCCATGTATTCGTGAGCTGAGCCGTGTCACACGCGTGCCCGTTCACACTTCAGCGAGCCCCATGTATTCGTGAGCCGAGCCGTGTCACACGCGTGCCCGTCCACACTTCAGTGACCCACGTTCAGCCAGCCCCTTCACAAAGCGTCAGGCCCCACACCGTTTCTGCCCGTTACCTGAGCCGCGGGCTCGCCCCACAGGCCCCGGCGGGGCCCCTGCCAGCCTGGCTGCCTGGTGAGGCTGGGCGCGTCCCCAGGGCCCGCTGTGGGGCGCTGTGGCCCCTTCGCAGGTGCAGCGGCGGGGCCCTGAGTCCTGCCTCTTGTCCAGGTGCACCTCTGCGAAGTGGAGGCCACGGAGAAGCTGGGGGACGAGGGCTTTGCCCCCGACACCGGCGCCGGCCCGCCGGTGCTCGTGGCCGTGAAGATGCTCCGGGCTGACGCCAACAAGAACGCCAGGTCTGTGCCCGCGGCGTCGGGGCCTCCCGGGGACTCCAAGCTGCCCCAGGTTTCCATGGTTACGCTTCCCCTCCCGCGAGACCGGCGTCCTCACCTGGGTCCCCCGTCCCCCGGACACAGACGCACATTCCCCGCCGGACTCCTGACCGGTTCTCCCCTGACCGCCCGTCCCTCCGCCCGGCCCGAGCGTCCACGCCTGCCAGACACTCCCGGTCACACACGCACTCCTGCTCCTCCGCTTCCTGTGCCCTCCGGTCCCCTCCCTTGTCACCGCCTCGGCCTTCCCTTTCCTCCGCGCTCCCTCCCTTCTCTGCCCGGCACCCCTGCAGCGGCACCCCTGCAGCGGGAAGCCGCCTCCGCCTGGAGAAGCACACGCGCACCCCAACGAAGGACGCACGGTGCTGTGGCTGTGCCCCAGCCTGGGCCCTCCCCTCCACGGGGCGCAGTCCCGCCACACCACTGTCCGAGGGGCTTTCCGGGTGTGTGAGGGTGAGCTGCCTCACCCAGAGGTGCGTCCAGAGGCTGTTGGACGGGCCCCCAGTGAGGCCCCGTCTGGGGGTGGGGCACGCAGTTCTCCACTTGCGTCAGCTGCTTTCTCTCGCTGAGACTTTCTCAGACCCCCGCCCTCCCCACTGCCGGACCCCTGCCCTCCCCACCGCCGGACCCCTGCCCTCCCCAGCACTGGACCCCCGCCCTCCCCAGCACCGGACCCCTGCCCTCCCCACCGCTGGACCCCCGCCCTCCCCACCACCAGAGACACCCAGCATGCTGAGAGGGCTTCCTGGAGACTCTCTCGAATGGCAGGGGTGGGGCGGGGGGTGCAAGGAGGAAAGACCAGGGATGGGAAGGAGAGGGGTCGGATTTCACCTGAGAATACCAGTCTCCAGGGTGCTAGCCTGCACGGCAGGTAATGCCCTGGGGTCCCGTAGGGAGGGGAGGCAGAGTGCTTCTTCCTAATATTGATCTCAGCACTTGAGCAGAGACGCTGCAACCCCCCCCCCAGGCCCCCCACAGGACAGGCTCCTGCCTGCTGTCCACTTCGGTGGGGACGGCGTCCCTGCTCCTGCGTCCACGCCCGCCGAGCCATGGGTGACAGCCGGGGCTCTGGCCCCTCTCTGGCCGTGGACACCCCCGTTTGGGGTTGATGTGCTGGATGTGGTTTGGGGGTCCCACCGGTAGAGCCCGACTCCTGGGCCCTAGAGCACTCAGCAGACCTGCCCCTGCCACGCGGGCAACCTGGGCTGTGGCCCCAAGACCCGAAGGTCGTTACCGGGAAGCACATAGCCGCTGTGTGACTCGGGGGGGCTGTCACCAGACACCCACACAACGGTTCGTCCTGGCCAAGGGGCGCTTGCTTTGAAGAAACCCCAGGTGGCCACCGAGGGCGGGGCACGTGGGGACTGACAGCTGGTGCTCCCTGTTCGGAAAAACCGAGAGGAAGCGCAGAGTCAGCAGACAAGCCTGAGGGCCACGATTCTGTCTATAAAAAGTTTCTTTGCTTCGTCAGGGCGGGGGTCCCGGGGCTTTTTGCAGGGGACACACTCCAGTGCGCTTGGGGCTCCTTTGCAGTGAAGAGCGTCCCTTCCCAGAGTCGTGCTGGGCGGCGCACCCCTCCCCCCCGTCCAGCCGACACCAGCCCCGGTCCATGCAGCGGGCGCGTCCTCGGGCACCGGGGTGCAGGCGTGCCCGGGCGGACCACAGGCCCTGTTTCCTGAGCGCTCACAGCGCGTGTGGGGCCAGACAGCCCCCGGGTGGGGCCGGGGGCCGGGGGCCAGTGCCCGTCCTCTGGAAGGTGGGCCGGGGGGCTGGGCTGGGTGTGGGGGCGGGCCAGCCGTGGCCGCACCCGCTCCCCCTCCGGCCCCGACTCCGGCCGCTCAGGGCCCGCCCGTGTGCGTGTCCCCCCAGGAACGACTTCCTCAAGGAGATCAAGATCATGTCTCGGCTCAAGGACGCCAACATCGTGCGCCTGCTGGCCGTGTGCGTCGCCGACGACCCTCTGTGCATGATCACCGAGTACATGGAGAACGGGGACCTCAACCAGTTCCTGTCCCGCCACGAGCCCCCCGGCCCCGCCCCGGGCGAGGCGCCCACGGTCAGGTGAGCGGCGGGGCCCCCACACCCCGACACCCCGGGGGGCCCACTGCAGACGGGCCCTGAGCCCCGAATCTCGGCCGCGCTCCACGCAGCGCGCTGCCCCGGGCGGGGGGCAGCAGAGACCCCGCACGAGCCGAGAGGGAGGCGGCGGCCTGGGCCCTGGAGCCCACGGGCGGACCGGCCCGGCCCTGGCGTCCTGCGTGGGCGACTTCCCCGTCCGTGTTCCCTCAGCTACGCCGACCTGAAGTTCATGGTGACGCAGATCGCGTCGGGCATGAAGTACCTGTCCTCCCTCAACTTCGTCCACCGGGACCTGGCCACGCGGAACTGCCTGGTGGGCAAGAACTACACCATCAAGATCGCCGACTTCGGCATGAGCCGGAACCTGTACAGCGGGGACTACTACCGCATCCAGGGCCGCGCCGTGCTGCCCATCCGCTGGATGTCCTGGGAGAGCATCCTGCTGGTGGGCCGGGTGGGCGGGGCCTGGTCCTGGTGGGCGGGGCCCGGTCCTGGTGGGCGGGGCCGGTCTGGGTGGGCGGGGCCTGGCCCTGATGGGCGGGGCCGGTCTGGGTGGGCAGGGCCTGGCCCTGATGGGCGGGACCGGGCCGGGTGGGCGGGGCCTGATCCTGGTGGGCGGGGCCCGGGTGACCCTGCGGGTCTGGGGCGCCCAGGGTGGCCCAGGTGAACCTCCGGCCTCCGGGCCGCGTGGACTTGAGAGCTGATCATCATTTTTAACACTCACCCATTTCTGCCAGCAAATGTAATACGCTCCCGATAAAAAATTTGCATGAAAGGGTTAAAAACACACCCACATGATAAGAGATTTAGTGTGTTTTTTTCTCTCTCTCCTTTGCACCCACTGAGGGGTCTTAGTTTCAGATATTTAAAAAATCACTTAGAAGACATGTTATCCACACAAAACCATTTTTTTTGAATTCCTAACTATACTTCTAATTAATTATTTACATTGTTCTCTATATTTCTATTTTGATGAGTATTACTATTTACTTTTTATTTTAAGTTCGTCGTATTCTTTGCTTTGAGATTTTTATTCAACTCTCGGCCTTCCGGGCCACGGGTGGGGCGGAGAGACGTTTTCCCACCAGTGTCCCCGCTGGAGCTGTTTCTCCTGCCCCCCCCCCCCCCCGTAGCTGAGCGGGCGTCTGGCGGCCCACGGCCGCGCCCCCAGCAGCCCGGAGCGGAGACGGGGGGGCCGCGCCAGCTTCGCGCCGCCCTCTCCGCTGCTCCCCCGCCCACCCCCACGCAGGTCGCGAGGGGTCCACGCGGGGCCCTCGCCCTCAGCGGGGGCCGGGGTGACGCCGGGCGTGAAACCCTAACCTGTTCCGCTTTCCCTCCCCCCACCCCCCTGGAACCAGGGCAAGTTCACCACCGCGAGCGACGTGTGGGCCTTCGGCGTGACCCTGTGGGAGACCTTCACCTTCTGCCAGGAGCAGCCCTACTCGCAGCTGTCGGACGAGCAGGTCATCGAGAACACCGGCGAGTTCTTCCGGGACCAGGGCCGGCAGGTGGGGGCTGCGGGGGTGCGCGGCGGCGGCGCGGGCGGGCGGGCGGGCGCTCTCCGCGCGGGGGCGGGGGCGGGACAGGCCCCGGGCTGGGAGACGGGCTGCCCGGTGGTGTCCCTTGTCACCACGACCCAGATGCTTTGGGGTTTAACTGTTTTCACCCATTTAAAAACACCCAGTGTAAAAGGGGGCACCATCCTCCCCCTCATTAAATACTGGTGGCGAACCAAAGACATTCTCAGCGGCCACCAGGCGGTTGAGTCGTGACGCCCAGTATTTGACTAAAGCCGTGGCCAGAGCCACAGGCCGCCACCGTGTGCTGAGGGTGCGCCTCGCCACCAGCTTAAGTTTACAGCTTCAGTAAAAACGTGTTAAATTTAACCCTTGAACTTGGGGAGCATGATTTATTGTGAGTATAGCTTATTAAGTGATAGCATTGTATTTTATTAGATATGACTGTGTAAATATTGTAGGGAAGTTTATAATTTTTTAAAAGATCTTATTTATTTATTTTTAGAGATGGAAGGGAGGGAGAAAGAGAGAGAGAGAAACATCCATGTGCGGTTGCTGGGGGCCGTGGCCTGCAACCCAGGCATGTGCCCTGACTGGGAATCGAACCTGCGACACTTTGGTTCACAGCCCGTGCTCAATCCACTGAGCTACGGCAGCCAGTGCTTGAAAGTTTACAATTTATAGTCTATTGCTTTCACTTTTATTATTAGAATTTTGGGAATCGCACTGTAAAAGGCTGGCCTTTGAGTGAGGGGCAGCGATTTCTCCCCACGGCCCGCTGCGCGCCGGGTGCTGTGGTCACGGGCCACACGCGTGGGGCCTCGGTCGTCCCCGAGTGGCCTGGCCGACGTCACCAGCTGATTGGAGGTGGCAGATGTGATGCAGGAGACACCTGCAGCGGCCCGCACTCGGGCAGGGTTCGCTGCGTGGGGCCGTAGCCGGGGCCAACCCTGACCGCTCTGAACGCCATCCTGAGCGCCTGGCGTGCGGTGTGGGGCGGGGGGGGGCGCGGCCATTTCCCTGACGGAGAAGCGCAGCACGTCCGCGTTCAGTTCCTCTCGACAGAGTGTGGGGAGTTTCCTCGGACGCTCATGGTCTGAAGGGACAGGCTGCTGGCCCCTGGGTTCTGGCTGTGACGTCTCTCTGCTTGGCGACGGGGGCCCCAGACGGGCCCTCGGGAAACCCTGCCGCAGGGCAGCGGGGCAGGCGGGGGAGGGGACGGGCGGAGGGGTCCGACTCCTGTGACTGTGCCTCGGGGGAAGGGACACCACGCGGACCTCAGCCCAAGACCGTGGGACGCGGGCAGGTGAAACAGCGATGCAGCGACTCCCCTCCCTCGCCCCCTCCCCGCCCTCAGTGTTCTCTCCCTGTGTTCACTCTGGTTCCCACAGACGTACCTGCCCCAGCCCGCCATCTGCCCGGACTCCGTGTACAAGCTGATGCTGAGCTGCTGGAGGAGGGACACCAGGCACCGGCCCTCCTTCCAGGAGATCCACCTGCTGCTCCTCCAGCAGGGGGACGAGTGAGGCCCCGCGCCCGGCCCCCCGCCGCGCCCCGGCCGCCGGCGACACGCAGCACCCAGCCCCGCCCGCCGCGCCCCCGGACCCAGTGCGCCGAGGGCGGGGGCTCCCGCGGCTCTCTCTGTCCTCGGCTCCCGCCGCTGCACCCCCACTCTCCGCCCCGGCCCATATATACTTGTTTTTTACATTAAAGAACTAAAAAAGGAAAAAAAAAAGCCTAGGGCAGATAAAATCCAGTCAAGAAATCTTCACCGATGCACCGAAGTGCTGGATGAGAAAGGCTAGATGATTTAGATAATTTATAAAGGTTAAATATGCTTGTGTTTATACATGTGCAGATTCTACAATGTTTTTTCCACGTTGCCTTTAAAGAAATAGTTTCAGCGAGGAAAACTTGAAGAACACCCGCGTCTCTGGACACCCGCGGTCAGGCTTAGGGGAGAAAACACCCAGCGAGTGTGGAGACTGGGAAGAAGCGGTTCCCGTGACCAGCCCCGGACGGCCTCGGTTCGCCCTGCGTCCTCTGGGCTGGGCTCCCTCCGGGCCTCTCTCTCCTGCCAGCTCAGCTGACACCTGCTTGAGAACCGCCCCCCCGCCCCCCCCCGCTTCCCGGAACGGGTGCTGTGTCCTGTCACGGGAGGGGCTGGGGTGGTAGTGGGTGCACCCAGAAACACAGGACGGCGCGGGCGAGAGCGTTCGCTGCCCGCCGGCCGGCGTGAAGGGAACTGTCGTTGGCTGAACAAGAAGCGTACCTCATGCACGGAAGGATTCTGCAGTAGAGTGGACACAGGGGAGCAGGCCCGAGGAGGACAGGTGACAGGTGTGCTACTCCTTTCGGCAGAGGGTCCTCCTCTTCCTCTTGTTCAGACACTTCCGGGGTGTGTCTTAGGGAAAGTTTGCTTTTGGATCCGTAAGAACCGGCGTTTCGGCAGCTCCGTCCCAGGCCCTGTGGCTCCTCCTCTCCAAGGCAACCAACTGGCTGTTTGAAGGGGTGAATCCCCCGCGGCCCTCGCCGGCCGGGGTTCGAGTTCTCAGGCGTGCACGACAGGGAGCAGGTCGGCTGTGGGTGCTCCGAAGGGTTGGCCTGGGACCAGCAAGGGGCAGCTGCAGGGCGCGGATGCCCTCTGTGTGCGGGGAGCTCCCAGGGTGCACGGGCTGCCTCGGAGGCGGAGGCCTCTGTCCCTCAAGAGGCTCAGATCCAGGCCGAGGAGCTAGGGGGGACAGACAGACGGACGGAGGTTTTGGAGCCCAGAGAAGTGGAGGGAGATGGTGCTGGCTGGCCTTTTGCGCAGGTCAGGTGCAGCAGAGATGTCGCCCACGGCGACAGCTCAGTGGGCGGGTGCCTGGGAGATGCGGTGACTGGGAGAGAGGAAGGGGGAGGCCCTGTCTCCAGAATTCACGGGAACAGACACACATGGTCCCATCGGAGCCCGGTCAGACCTGGGGCCGAGCCACGCACCCTCAGATGCGGTGGCAAGCAGGGAAGGGAACCCCCAAGTCCCGCAGAAAAAGTGGCAGAGACACGTCCCAGGCTCAGAAACAGAACTTGACCTGGGGGCCGGCTTCCGCCACCTGGTCTCACTCAGCCCCCCATCCGCCCTCACCTGCTCCCGGCCTCGGCAGATGCAGAAGCCCCACCCCCTGGGGTCCCTTTGCGGGTCCCCTTCCTCCCCCGGAGACTGAGGTGACGGCTCAGACTCAGCATCAGGCCGGAGGGAGCCGTGTCCCCTTTTCTTCCATTGGGTGAGGCCCCCACCCTGGCCCAGGGTCGGGCCTTGCTCCGCCCAACTGTTGAGATGCTAATCTCTCCTGGAACCGCTCGCAGAGTAAGACGTGACCAGGCACCAGGAGCTCCCACACCGAGTCACCTGCAGCCCCCTGCAGGGCTGCAGCCCCGGACCCCGGACTCCGCAGGTGCCCAGGGAAGCGGTCCCCTCCCCCTTCCTCTGTCTAACATCCCCCACTTATTTTTTTTAAGCATTCAGGCTCAGCATCTCATGGTCCCGCAGGAAAACAGTCAGAGTTCAAGTGAGCGCAGTGTCTGGATCTTCCCGGGCTTGCGTCCGAGGGGCCGCCGTTGTCGGGCCGCTGGCCGGAGCGCGTTGTCACGGGCTGCCACCCTTTCTGGGGTGAGGGAGGGCCCACCTCTGTGCGGCCGACACGGGGTTTGCCGCGGCCTGGCCGTTCCCACGGAGGTCACAGCACAAACCCGAGAGGGCCAGCTGGCGCGTCGTGCGCGGCGAAGGCCTCGTGTGGAGAATTTAAAAGTCGCTGGGATGTACATTAGAGGAAGGAAACTAGAAATGAATTAGAAAAGGAGGCGGGAGGATGTGGAACGTTCTGTGTCGGACTGTGGTTCTGGGGCCAGGGTGATAGTGTCCGCAGGCTGGTCGGTGGGAGGAGAGCTCAGCCCGACCTGGCGCCCGCCCAGACTCTCCTGCCCAGAGTCGGCCTGGCCTGGGGAGGCCCCTGGGGAGACCCCCATGGAGGCACGTGGCTTCAGTGCAGGGGCAGGACGGCTCGCAGGTGCCCGAGGCTGGGACGGCGCACAGCGTGGGCCGGGGTGGCGGACGAGGAAGGAGCGCGCAAGTGGCCGAACGGGAGGCAGGTGGGCGGGAGGGCGGACCGTGCACAGGTGGGCTGTGGGAGCGCGGTCGGTCGAGAGTCACGCGGGAAGCGGAGCTGAGACAGGGCAGGGCAAGCAAGTGTGCTGGGACAAAGGGCAGCTGTGTTTGGGGGGAGGAGGTGCCAGACGATGGAGATCGCACTGGCGAGAAATGAGACGTCGGGGGTGGCGTAGGGAACCGAGGGGAGGAGGGAGCTTCGGGGGTTTGAGACAGAGAAAGTTCCTCGTGGGTGTGGGGCCCGGGAGCACCCAGCGGGGAGGGCGCTGCACTTCAGAGGAAGCGGGTGACGAGGGCCCCAGTGCCTGTGTCCTCCAGCTGAGACGGGAGCAGCCCTGCGCACCCCGGACGCGGTTTTCCCAGGGTGCCCTGCGTGCAGGCCTGGAAGCAGGCTTTGGCGGAGCTTGGCCAGGCTGGGGTCCCGGCCCTCGCGTGTGTGAATGGGGTCCCTGCTGAGCCCAGAAGGGCACGGGAACAGGGGGCGATGGGCCCCAGTGAGGCTGACTCGGTCTGGTGTGACGCCCCAGCAGGGGTGGGTGCCGGGCGCCGTGGGAGCTGCGTGAGGCTGTCACCCCACCCAGGCGCCCTGCAGGGAGCGGGGCTCAGCCATGTGTTTTGAGTGAAAGGAGATCAGAGGAGGAGAGAGTCCAAAAGAGGGAAGCAGAGGGAGATGTTCCAAGGAAATGCTCTGAGACAGAACAGTGACTGTTTTGCCCAAAAATAAAAAAAAAAAAAGAATGAAGAAAATTACAGTCAAGGCGCAGCTCGCTCCCCAGACAGGGCCAGTAAGCCTTGAATTTCCAGGCTTGCCATCTCAGTCCTTCAGCGAGGCCTCTGACCTCTGGCCTCTGGCCTCTGGCCTCTGGGCGTGCCTGTGGCAGCTCCCAGAATGTTTCTGGACGTTTCAGACCTGGTGTATGCTGGGAGAGCGTTCTGAACTAAAATGTAACGTTTCCGTAGAAACAGAGGGATGTCCGCTCCCCGTGGCGAGTGTCCTGGAGCTGATGGGGAAGGGGGCGGGAACCGTTCTCGGTGCCTGGATCTCGGGGGCCTCTGGGTGCCCTGCTGCGGGGGCTGCGTCGTTTGGGGGACGATGGCTCTTGTGTCCTTCTCCCAGAACTTGTTGTTTTGGGAGACTTTCGGACTCCCAAGAAGTTGCGAAAGCAGTGCAGCGTGGCCCACCCTAACGCCACTGCTCGCGTCTTACGTAACCACTGTGCGCTTCCAAAGCCGGAAAACCGACCTTGCTGCAACGCCAGCAACGAAGCTGAAGGAGCGTTCAGAGTTCGGCAGCTCTTCACACGCGCTTGTTCAGTTTCCGGGTGGGGTTAACCCCTGGTTAAGTAGCTGGTTCGTAGTGAGAGAGACGCCACCTGGACCCACTTGTCCTTCAAACCCCGAGAGAGAGTGTCACAAACCAGCCCGTTTCTTTATCAGCGAGCGCTGTCCAGCCCAGCCGGGGTCCACATTGGCCGTTTAGCACCTGGAACAGCCCAGAACAACCTGAAAGGACTCGGGGCAGGAAGACCTGCCCGCGGCTTGCTGGCTAGAGAACCAGGCGAGGAGGGAAGTCTGGGTGACGAGGGCTTGAAACTGTGGCAGAGAGGACTGGAGAGTGGCCAGTGATTGGTCAAGAAGTAGGTGGCACCAAGTGCCGGCCCCAGGGCCGCTTGTGGAAGGAACCGAGAACCGTGGTGTGGTCCTCTGATGTGGGATGGACCATTGTCAGAGTAGCGGAGAGGTTTCGTTTGCCTGGGTGTCTGTTCTGAAACGGAGCCCCAGCCGCAGTGGACCGAAGGGAAGGCAAACCCACGGCGACCTCGGGGTGCGGAGCTTCCGGCTCCGATGCTCCTGGCTGCCGGTGTCCTGACTGCTCCGTGTGTGGGTCACAAGGCTGCAACGTGGCCACCGCTGCCTGCTGTGCGGTCATTGCGTACGTGTTTGCGGGGGGCTGTTTTTGAATGAAAATATGGAAGCAGAAACCTGTCATACTGTGTGCTGGGGTGAGTTAGGGAGAGTTGCCCCGCTGTGGCGTACAGAGTCTGTGTTCAAACCGGGAAAGGGGGGAAGGGCCCAGGGCTCACCACCTGTCTGTTCCTGATGGGGAAGTCGACCTTTGAGGGCTTGAGACAGCCTTTCAAGGTCGTTCTGTACAGGACACCCCGTCCAGAGCGGGCACCACACGCTGGCCCCAAACTGGCCCACTGGAAACCAGCCTTATAGTTTCTCCCGCACACGCCTGGTCCACAACTCCCCAAACCTCCAAAGGGGCAGGAGGAGCCCAGAGGTCGCCCACGCTTCCCCGAAGGCACCGCCGCAGGTGGAGGGAAGGTCAGCAGAGACACCGGGGGAGCCCAGCGGGGTGAGGCGGTCGATTACGTCAAGGGAAACTTGGTTTCTGGAGGAGAGGCTTGGAACTGACACAAGGCAGGAGGGCTCCGGCAAACACCCCGAGTCTGCAGTCCCGGGGCTCACTTCACGCCCTTCTCCGTCTGCACGCCGGTGCCCACCCCCCGCCCCCCGCCGTCTGGTGACCGCTGGGAGCAGCACGACGCAGGTTTCACCAGCGGGGAGGGGCTGGGCCCGCTCTGCGGACTGTGGAGGGCCAGGTGTTGGGTCAAGGGGCAGAGAGCAAACCGACTCAATTTCTGCTTAAAACTATCCTAGTCATTCCAAAATAGATTATGTAAGAATTCTCTGTATTAGGAAAAAAAAGCCACGAGATACCAATTGTATATTTTCTTTTCTTTATTTATTCTCTGTAAGTCTGTCAGATGATACATTGTAAATAACAACGATTAAAGAAATACGCTACTAAGGAATGAGCGGCCCCTTTCTGTGCAGATGGCACGCGTCCTGGGCTGTGTCACCCCTCCCCCGTGGGCCTTGCATCTTCTGGGGGAGGCGACAGGGCACGGGGTGGAGTCCACATGTGTGCAGAGTGCTGCCCCTGTTCGTGGGGGGGGGGGCGCTCCGCAGGGAGGTCCGACCCAGGCCTCTCACCTGTCAGCCGACTTGGTTGGGAGAAAGGCAGCGGGGGCTCGGGAGACCCGGACCCACTAGAGACGGGGGCTCTCTGCTGCTGCACGAGCCCAGCTCTGGGGGATCCGGCCCCGGAGTAAGTGGGGAATCTTTGCGGCTGTCACGAAGGTGTCTGGTCTGACACTCAGAAATCCCTTCTGAATTCACACACGCTCTGCCCTGGCGTCCCGACCGCCCAGGCACGCACACGGCGGAAAAGGCTGCGAACCCCGGGAACGAGCCGGTCTCTGTAGCGGAGACAAGGACGAAACGCCCCAAACCACACGCTTCTCACCTGCGAGACCGCAGACTGCGCCTACGCAGGACGGTCGCTGTCCTGAACACTGTGAACACCTCCCCCCACCCCCCCGTGGTGCCCGGGACAGATCGGGGGGCACAGACAGTGCCCCGAGAACAGAGAACAGCCGGGGCGGGCCACAGGACGACCCCCTTCGTCCTGTGAAGTTCCGGGGCCCTTCGATTCCGTCGCAGGCCCAGGTGTGGGAAACTGGCATTGCTGCACGTTCGTAAAGTCAGTGTTCCAAAGACGGCGTTTTAGAGGCCCGGGAGCGGAAGTGGTTGTGAAGCGGCGCAGGTAAAGAGGAGGGGACAGTGCCCAAACCTCAGCTCCCGGGCCCGAACCTTCCCTGGGACACGTGGGGCTCCGCGGCAGAAGCCCCAATCCCAGCGGCCGGAGGCCAGGCCTGCGCGCCGCGAGCGGACCCCTGCCGCAGCCGCAGCCGCCACCTGGCGGGCGGGGCCGGCGCCCCCGCGTGGCGGAGGCGGGAAAGCGCAGATTGGCTGGGAGCTGGCCCCTCCCCTCAGCCTATCTCACCCCACCTGGGCAGTCGCAAAGAGCACGAGGTGTAACGCGATTGGTGGACGTGGCGGGGGCGTTGCAGGCGGTGTCACCGGCCCTTGATTGGGCGGCGGGCGGGGTACGGGGGCCGACCGGGATCTGATTGGAGGGCGTGCTTGAGTCATAGACCTGAGGGTATCGCCGGGTCCTGATTGGGCAACGCGCGTGGGAGGAGGGGCCGGCCGGGATCTGGGCTCTTCCTCCGAGAGCCCCGCGGGTCCTGCCGGCCGTCGGGCGTCAGTGTGCAGCGATGCCGAAGGTGGTGCTGGTCACCGGGGCGAGCAGGTAAGACTTGGTGCGCGGTCGCGGCGGCGGGTCTGGGGGCGGGCCCGCGGTGCCTGGTCCCGCTTTCCCTCCTGCCGCCTGGGCTCTCATCCAGCGAGGCAGGCCGGCGGGGCACCGCGTGGGTAACGCAGTTTCCGTGTCCGAACCCCAGCGGCGTCGGCCGAGCGCTCTGCCAGCGGCTGCTGCGGGAGGAAGACCAGCTGCACCTCTGCTTGGCATGCAGGAACCCCGGCCGCGCCGAGGCGCTCCGCGCCGAGCTGGTGGCCGCCCGGCCCTCCGCCCAGGTGAGCACCGTGCAGGTGGACGTCTCCGACCTGCGCTCGGTGCTGCGGGCCGCCGGGGAGCTCAGGCGCAGGTGGGCCTCTCGTTGACGGGCGTTCTCACCTGGGGTTGTGCAGCGTAGCCGCCGTCGGGAGGAGAAAGGGCAGGGAGCCCTGGAAAGGAACCCCAGGGCGAAAGAAGTGACGCTCAGGAGTCCGTTCCTCTTCCTCGCGATCATGCTAATTTAATGAAGCTTGATACAGGAGCGCACGGAGTGTAGCTCCTCTGACACCTGAGTGCATTTTCTACCTCTCCCCTCCTCGGATCGCTGGGTGAGTCAGGCAGGTGCTGACCGGACAGCTTCTGGCACAGAGACGGGAGTAGTGTGCCCAGGGCGGTCCCAGGGCTTTGCCCTGCTGTGCTGGTCCCCGAGCCCAGGTCTCCTCCCGGGTTCGTCAGGGAGGACACTGAGTTGTCACAAACGAGTAAGTTCGTGTCTAGTAAGATATTTAGTGATTTAGCCCCAGTTTACGGCGGTGAGGCCGTGGGGGAGAAGGAAGCACCCAAGTAACCAGTGGGTTGACCGACCGGCCACACGCCGTCCTGTACATGTGTGGCCTTGTGCTTAGTTAATTCTCCAAACAGCTGCCCTGGAGGTGGGCGGCGTCGTCCAGATTTGGGGAACGACGGTCGATACGGACTGGGGAACATGTGACTCCACATCATAGCCCCCCAGTCCCGTCGTTCGAAGGCACCGCCGGGGAGGGACAGCCCCGGGGCCGACGCGCCCGTCTGGTGTCCTGCCCGCAGGTTCCGCAGGCTCGACTACGTGTACCTGAACGCCGGGATCATGCCCAGCCCGCACCTTAACGTCAAGGCGCTAGTCTCCAGCCTCTTCTCAAGGTAGTTCCCACGGTCCAGGCACCCTGCCGGTGAGGAAGGTGCCTGCTTCTCACCTCCTTCTGCCCTGGGCACGTTACGCCGGGGGGCAGCGGGGCGCTGAGAAGAGTAGACCGAGGGCGGGGAAGCATCCGTCTCTCGTGGGGACAGTGGGCGGCCGGGTTCTGCGTTGTGCTGGGCCGGCGATGTCTGTGAGCAGAGCCCCTCAGGATCAGGCGGGGGCCACCGGACTCTGGCCCCCAGGACGGCGCCTTCCTGGCAGGTCCTCTGCCCGGCAGGGGGGAGGCACTGAGCACTGACCAAGCCCCCGGAGACCCTCAGTGCCGTGTGGCGGCTTCCAAGGTGTTGGACCCCAACCTGCCAAAGGAAGGCCGTCCTATCCCGTGACCTAGAGTGCGTGCTCACACACAGAGGTTCTTTGGGTTTAGTTCCCATTACACACTGCACACAGACACTCAGTCCCACGCTGGCCCTGACCTCCTCAGTGGGCCCACGGCACACACCGTATTCATAGTGTTCCTGCTCTGAGAGTGCCCAGTACGAACCCCAGGCGTCCGACCGACTCGGGGGGCGCAGCTGGCACTGGTTTGTGGGGGGAGGACTGTCCTTGGCGTAGCTGTTGTCCCCGGAGATGTTGGCCCGTAAGCTGATTGGCAAAGGGGTGGAGAGGGTTGGAGCAGGTTCTCAGAGGCCTGGGCTCCTACTGGCAGCGTGACCTGTGGTGCGTGAGTACTTCCGGGGGAAAGGAGGCATCCTTGCTCCGTATCTGACAGAGTCGCCCAGACTCGGGACTGGGGGGTGTGGGGCAGGGACGGCAGCGGGGAGCGGGGGTCTCCTCATGCCTCCAGTGGCGGGAGCTGAGAGTCACGGCATTTCTCCTGCCGTTTCAGGAACGTGATTCATGTGTTCTCCACGGCCGAGGGACTGCTGACCCAGGAGGACAGGGTCACGGCCGACGGGCTGCAGGAGGTCTTTGCCACCAACGTCTTCGGCCACTTTCTCCTGGTAAAGCCAGCGGGCCAACAGTTGGCACTGGGGGTGTAGCCCGTTGCTGGCGTTCGGTCTCTGGGTGTTGAAGTGGGACGGTTGCTCTGAAGCCCTGGTTCCCTGCTGCAGCCGGCCACGCTGTGCTGCTGCTTTTGAGTCGGCTCTGCAGAGGGGAGAGGAAGGAGAACGGACACACAGACGCTTTCAGAGACGAGGTGCAGGGTGCACAGACCGACCCCGCTGGTCTCAGGGCTGGGCGTGGCCTCAGGTGGGAGGGGAGCCGGCTGGCCTCTCCGAAGCCACCGTCGCAGCCAGCACTGATCCTCCCAACCCCTGACCTCCTGAGCGCAGCGCCTGCGCGCTGCTGTTCTGGGCACGGGTGGGAAGGGGAGCAGAGACGGGCACTGCGTCCGCTCGCTCCGTGCTCTCGGAGATCTCCACACGACACCGCCAGCATCTCAGCTGGGGCGAACACGAGGCTGCGTGGCCGTTCAGGCCCCTCCCCTTGGTTTCCCGGGAGGTCCCCTCCCCCGGTGGCTGACCTGCTGCACCCCGGGCGACACTCTAGTGGTTTCAGAGTAGCTACCTGTGCCCCCCGGGGGACGTGGGTGCAGTTTCTGTTCCTCTCTTCCCCACTCAGATCCGGGAGCTGGAGCCGCTCCTCAGCGCCGGCGACAGCCCGCGCCAGCTCATCTGGACGTCGTCCCGCAACGCCTGCAAGGCCAACTTCCGCCTGGAGGACGTGCAGCACCGCAGGGGCCGGGAGCCCTACAGCTCCTCCAAGTACGCGGTGGACCTGCTGAGCGTGGCCCTGAACCGGCACGGCAATGGGCAGGTGAGGCCCCGCCGGCGCTCGGCCCCCGCGGGCGCCTCTGGCGGGCGCAGTGCGGTCTCTCGGGCGGGGTCTCTGGGGGCAGGGTGGGACCCAAGGGGCTCTGGAGGTGGGTGTGCGCGACCGTCGCAGGGCGGGGAGGACAAGCCCCAGCCTGAGGCGTCTGGGGCTCACTCGTCTGCAAGGGCTGCAGTGTCCCCAGCGGAGGGACCGTGACAGCACCCGCCGCTGCGTTTCCGGGGCACGCGCCGTCCCTGGGTGTGCGGCACCTTCCCGTCAGGTGGGGTGGGCCCGAGGACGCTGAGGTTTGCAGGGGCTGTCCTGTACCCAGAGCTCACGGGACCGGTGGAGGGTGTGGCCCGGGCGGAGGTCCCTCCTGCCCTGAGAGTCCGGGCTTGCTCGGGCGTGTCCCTCGTCGGCCACCCTGTGCTGGACCCCCAGTGCTCAGTGCGCCCCCCATGCCCCAGGGCCTCTTCTCCAGCGTGGTGTGCCCGGGGACCATGCTGACCAACCTGACCTACGGGATCCTGCCACCCTTCGTGTGGACCCTGCTGATGCCCTTCATATGGCTGGTGAGTGCGCGCCCGCCGGCACCTCCTTCCGCCGTGCCTGCAGGCGGTTCCCTGCGGAACTGAACCCAGGTGTGGCAGAATCCCGTGTCACTGGAGGTCTGGAGTCACTTAGCAGGTACCCTCTGCCCCCCAGCTGAGCCCCCGGAGCCCCCACACCTGTCTCCTTCTCCATGCGGGACCATGGTCCCTGGGCCCCAAGGGTGCCAGGGCCGCGGATGTGGGAGACCTGGGTGCCCCGAGCGCGCCGTGGGGCCCCGTGAGTGGAAAGCCCCAGGTCAGGGCACGCATGGGTCTCGTGACTGTGGAGCCGTGTGGACCCGGCCGCTGCTCCGTGGTTCCCATGCCTTGTCGGACGGCGTACCTCCCGCCCCCCCGGACGCGTGCTCCCTCGTGGGGCCCAGAGGCCGTCCCTCGTCCCGCCCGGTGGGGACACGGACCGAAGGAAGTCGGCCTCTGTGTTTCTGGGGGTGGACTCGGGGTGACGGGGTTCAACGACACTTCGTTTTCAGACCTCCCTGTGTTCTGGTCCTTGGAAACGTCCGGTGAGGAGACATGCCGGTCGCTTTTGGGTCCACGCGGGAGGCGGGCTGTGGGGCCTTGTCCCGAGCCGCCGCACGGTGGGTGACTCCGTCTTCTCTCCCCCAGATGCGCTTCTTCACCAACGCCTTCACCCTGACGCCGCACAACGGAGCCGAGGCCCTGGTAGGTCGCCGGTCCGCGGCCCGTCCGGTTGCTCCAGAGGCAAATAGTCTGCCCCCGCCCCCCAGGGAGTGGCCTCTGCCCCCCGCCCCCCCCCCCCCAGGGAGCGGCCTTGGTCTCGGCAGAAGAGACCAGCTCTGTGCACAGTCAGGGGCCCACTCGGGCCAGGGAGTGGCTCTCTGCAGGGGTGGCGCTCACAGGGTGGTGCCCGCCGGGGGTCCCGCGGGGCAGGAGGGTGCGGGGCGGCCGGGCAGTCGGGGGGCTCCCCGGGGAGGGCGCACCTGTGGGGCGGGAGCAGAGGTGGCTGCGCCCAGGCCTGTCCACGTCAGGTCCAGCCACTCCTCCGTCCGGAAGCCGGGCTGGAGGACGGCGCTCCTTCCGGACTTTTCTGCTGGTTGGGGCCCTCGAGGACCTAGCGCCGCAGGGCGCACACGCAGTGGACTCCTCAGTCTCGGCCGAATTAAAACAAGCAGGGAAGCATCGACGAGGGAGGGTTTCTGACGAGGGAGGGTTTCTGACGAGGGACCCTGCCGGGCACCGCAGCCTCGGTGAACGGTGCCCAGAGAAGCTTGGTGCCCAGAGAGAGCGCTTTCAGGTTCACCTCAGTTGGTCCTCGATGTGTTTGCCAAGCCGTCGGGGGCGTCCGTGAGCAGCCCTTTCGGGAGGGATGTCACGACCCCCTGCGTGTCAGACAGAAAATCGAGCCCGAGGGTGTGGGGCGGAGAAGACAGACTCTCCCTTACGAGGAGCTCGAGTTTAGAGAAAAGACAGGGAGCGGGTGAGCCAGCGAGACGCCCAGCTGTTGGCGGCGAGTGGTCTCGGGGTGCTCGGAAGTGGGGGACAGTGGGCAGGGTGGGAGAGTGGGCAGGTTTGTTAGCACAGGCAGCCGGACCCCAGGGTCACGGCTGGAGAAAGGCACGTGGCCCTGCTGCGACGTCCTGGACGGTGGTGGGCGGGCGGCCGCCTCCTGCTCAGCCCACCTGGGGAAGGCTGGGGCGCGGGGGCGGTATGTGGGGGGGGAGTGCGGGGGCGGGGGGGGGTGGCGCGGGTGTGAGCACCGCACGCACGTGCGTTGCACCCTGCTCACGTCCCGCTTCTCTGGTTTCTGGCCGCGACCCCGTGGGCTCACCTTTTCCCGAGTAGCCTTTTACTGTCTGTGAAAAGCAGCGGCCGGGGGGGTTCTGCCTTGTCCGGAGCCAGGCGCCAGCCCGGAGCCCCCGCCAGCCCCGCCGGCCTCGGGCAGGACGGGAACCGCGGCTGCCTCCCCTCTCTCCGCGCAGGTGTGGCTCTTCCACCAGAAGCCCGAGTCCCTCAACCCTCTGACCAAGTACCTGAGCGCCACCACGGGCCTCGGGAGCAATTACGTAACGACCGAGAAGGTAAACCTGTTTTCCCCGCCGCCACGTGGCTGCTCCCCGCGCTCCTGCCCCGCCCGCGGCCTCCTGGCTCCCTCGCCAGGCCCTCGCCGTCCTCTTTCAGCTCCTTGGTTTCTCCCGTTCGCCCTTCAGGTCTCGGCTTGTGCCTGGGCCTCTGGGGCGCGCCAGGCGGGGCCAGGGCCTGCTGAGGGGTGTCGCCGGCTGCTCACTCTGGGCCGGCGCGCGTGTCCCTCCCGAGGGGGCCCCTCCCTGTCCGAACGTCAGCGCTGGGGGGCGGACTCTGCCCCCTTCCCCGCGCGGGGGCTGCGCACTGGACGAGAAGGAGAGGGCCTCGGAGCGGCGTCGGCCCCCTCCGAGTGCAGCCCGCCCAGGGCAGACCGCCGTGGGCCCGAGGGACGGGCGTCCTGCGGGCGTGGGGCCGGCTGCCAGTGTCAGACCCCCAGTCCCCCGAGCAGGACTCGAGCTCAGAGCGCCGGTAGGGAGGAGGAGACTCATTCCACAGACGGCGCTGTGTTCCCGTCGTGCGTGGGGTGTGTTTCAGCCGCCGATCCTCCCGCCCAGCTCCCTGTGGGAGGCGCTGTTATCACGTGAAGTGGGCCTGAGGCTCGTCCGGTCTCCGCTCGGGGCCGGGGCGGGCAGTGACCCTGCTGCCCGTCGGTGGGGTGGCCGGAGGCCCAGGGGAGTGGCGCCCTGTTGCCCACGGCACTGGCCCCTGAAGTCACCAGCGGCCCTGCAGGGTGCCCGGCGCCTGTTCCGTGGGGTGCGAGGCCCTCGACGGGGTTCCAGAGAGCTCGGGCGGCGAGTGGGTACGAGGGCCGTGCCGGGTCCTGCTCCCTCGGCCAGTGTGCACGGCCAGGTCCCCTGCAGACGCGCGCGCCCACCACGCAGACGCGCGCGCCCAGGGTGTGACCTCGGGTGACCGTTTGTCCTGGACTCTGTGACTGTCTTCTTCACGCTTTGCGTAAAATGCGGTGACACCCCGAGCCCTCCTCGGGGACGCTGGTAGCTCAGCGACCTTCGGGACCCTCGGTGTGTCCGAATGTCCTACTTGTCAGTCTCGGGGGAGTGGCCTGTTCACTTGGGGAGACGGTGCTGAGCTCTGCAAACGGAGGTGTTTCAGTAGCGTTTCGGGGGAGCTGCATGGGAGGTGGTGTTTCCGTCCTGGGCGAACGCAGGCCGGCCCTCCGTCCTGGGCGGGGGCAGGCGGGCTCCGAGGCAGCCTGGCGGGAGGAGGGAGAGGCCCCCCTTCCTCCCCGGGGCCCCCTGGGTGTCTGGGGACGATGCGCAGGTGGGTGCGGGGGTGGGTGCCGGGAGCTCACCGCAGTGGGACGTGAACAGAAACCCTTCGGACCGTCCTCCTCGGTCCTTTCTCCCGTCCGAGTCGGTTGGGGTCGTCCGTGACCGGGTCGTGGCGGCCAGGGGCTGGCAGACCTGGGCCTCCCCGTCCGGTGGGGGGTCTGTGGGCTTGGCGAGTGTGGTGGGGCCCCGAGAGCTGCCGTGTGTGTGTGCCCGGGTGTCGGGGTTGGAGGCCCCGGCCCTTCCCTGCCGCCGCTTCTCTGTCCTCCCCCACGGTGAGCGCCTCCCTCTCTGCCTGCAGCAACGTCCCCGCCCCGGCCCGTCCGGCCACCCTCGTCTCCGGTTCTCTTCCAGATGGACCTGGACGAGAACACGGCCGAGCAGCTGTACCGGCACCTGCTGGAGCTGGAGCGGCACGTCCGGGCCACCGTCCAGAGCGCGGACTAGCGGGGCGGCGGGCGGCCACGGGACATGCCCGCCTCCGTCCTCCCTGGCGTGGGGGCTGCTGTCTCGCGGGGCGGTGCGGTCTGGGGTGAGCGGGGGGCCTCCCGCCGTCTCCCTCCCCTCCGAGGCCCCGGGCGCCCCTGCGCTCTGGTGAAGAGCTTCCTCGGGTGACAGGTGGTGGCTGCGCTGGTACCTGGGACGGGATGGTGCCCCATCACAGTCTGCGGTGACCCCGCATTCACCTCCTCGTGGTGCGTATCCTGCCAGCCGGAGCCCACGCCAAGCTCTGGGACACGGCGTGGCCTCCAGTGGCTGAGACGCAGGCCGGCCGGTCCTCCTGCTGGCCTGTCCCCGCGGGAGGTTCACGGCCACTCTCAGTGTTTCCTGGGAGTGTCTCCTCAGGTTTTTCACCTTCTTCTTCCTGCTGCTGCCTTTAACGACCCCCCTGCTCAGGGCCCTGCCCCCCCAGGGGCTGGCGCTCGGGCCCAGGGGCTCAGGGACAGGCGTGTGTTTGGGCCACTCCGGGGCTTCCTCCCTGATCTGAAGAGCCTGTCACTGCTGACCTTGCAGCCGAGGTGGCCCGACCCCACGCCGTGCGCACTGGCTCGTTACTGACCAGCTGGCTTCCTCTTTCTGATCCTGGCCCGAGGGGATGTTTGTCACTGGTTTTCCAGAGACAGGAGGGGGTGGGGCGAGGGTGGGGAGAGAAAGGTCGATGGGTTGCTGACCGGGACTGAACCCGCAGCCTCTTGGCGCCCAAGGCAATGCTCCCCCCAGCGGAGCCGCCCGGCCGGCGGGGGCCTCACGCTCACGTTGCACTGGGCGTGAGCTCGCACGTGACCTGCTCACGTCGTCTCAGTGGAGTTTTCCACCGGTTGCTGCTTGCAGGCGGGCGGGTGGGGGCTGCCTGCTGGTGTCGGCCGAGGTCGGAGGTCGGCGCAGACTCCACCTTGGTGACAAGAAGAGAATCCTGAAACGCTTCAGGTGTTCTGACCCCAAATGTAACCCTTACCTGGGATAGAGTACAGCGAGTGAAGTTTTGGATGAGTCAATAAAAGTGAAAAATTATGCAGAAATAGAATTGCTTTGTATTTTGAAGTATGGATTTTTTTTTTTTTTGGTCACTAAAGGTATTTTCAACAAAGTTCAACGTTCTGCACGGGAACACGAGGGCTAGACGGGGGTGGGGGGTGAAGCGGGGGACCCGAGGGCGGGCAGGGCTGGGGAGCAGCGCCTGGCGGACGCCCACGCCCCAGTCTGTGCCGGGCGGAGCCCCTCCGCCCCCTCTGTCCCTGGTGCTGTGACACCTGTGAGTGAGGGGAGGCGGCGTCTCTGAGCACGGTGGCCCTGCGGCTTCTGCCCGCGGCCGGTACGTCGGACATGGCGGCCCAGACACTGCCGTCAGGGCACCGAGTGAGCGCCCGATTTTGCCGCGACACGTGACATGGGGTTGGACACGGAGAGGGTGAAAGACTGCAGGTGGACGGGCGGCAGGTCTGGGTGCCCCGGGTGCGTGAGGACGGGGCACGGTGTGCCAGGAGGGGCACAGACCACGGTGCACGCGCATGAGTTTTGTCCAGGGCGGAGGCCCGGGCAGCAGCCGCGCTCCCGCTGCTGTGGCGGCTCGCGCCCTGGTGCCCCACAGCTTGGCTGCAGGAGAGAGACCCTGGCGGAGTGGAGAGCTCGGCCTCGGGGGGTCCTGAGGGAGACGACAGGGTGTGAGGGGGAGGCCGGAAGGGGCCCGGCCGTGGCCACTGTCAGTGGGTTCATGCTCGTGGCCGGCGTGGCACCCTGGCCGGCCCCCCCCCCCCAGCCCCTGGTGCTTTGCTTCCTGGAAGGGAATGTTGGAGGGAGTGTGTTTCTTGTCCACGGTCCACGGTGAGGGGGCAGGTTGGGTGAGCGGGCTGGAGGTGGGGATCGGAAAACCGAAGTGAGGCCACGCGGAAGGGAAGGTGGCCGGCGCGGGCCAGGCCGAGTGCGGGTGCCCGTCCAGTCTTCGGGGAGTCCCTGTTCCGGCCCCGGCTGTGACCGGGAACGGGGCCTCCCCTGTGGCCAGCAGGTGGCACCACGGGTCTCAGCAACGGGGGGGTCGGCCTGCAGACTCCCATTTCTGTCGTCAGCAGCCAGCTTGGGCGGTGGCCTCGCCTGTTCTCAGAAGCCCCCCCCGCTGTTTCGTGCTGGCCTTGCGGACGCAGCGAGAGGGAGAGAACGGGGATCGAAAGGAGATGGGACAGGGGACAGGTCTCTCCGGTGACCCTGATGGGGTACTGGCCGGTCACAGAGGAGGTGATTGAGAGGACGCCCTGCCCGGCGGGGCCCCGGGGCCCCTGTGCCCGAATATCTCGGCGAGGCTGAGCTCCCGCTCGGACTCGGGGGGTGCCCGGAGCCGCAGGTAGCGGGCGTGGGCGGCCCTGGCAAACAGCTCCCGGAGGGAGGATGCCGAGGCCTCGCTGCTGGGGTCTCCCTCGCACCCCGTGGCCCTCGGGGACGTGGGCTCCCCAGCGCTGTGGTCCGGCTTCCGGGAGGCATCTCCTGAGCCGGCCTCCTCCCCGCGGACCCCTCCGCGGTCTCCCGCGGGGCTGGCCCCTGGGTCTGGGTGTGCGGGCTCCGTGGGGGTGGCTCGGCCTGCCGGGTCCCCTTCTGGGGCGTCCGAGGCTGCGCTGCTTGGGGACGGCGGCGACGGCTCTTGGCTTTCCACGGGGTCCTTGAGGCCGGTGGGACAGGGAGGGGGCTCCCGGCACCCATTTTTGTGGGTTCCCTGCGTCGGGCTGGCAGTCGCTGGTGCTCTGGGGACGGAGGCGGGAAGAAGGAAGGTCTCTGACAGCTGACAGAGGTGCCCGTAGTTTGAATTTTTAAGTCACTGGCCCACGGCCCCTTCCTGTGGTGTGAGCCAGAGGAGCAGTGGGGGGTGTGTGGCTGGGTGACCTGTGGGGGTGTGTCTGTGCTGGGGGAGGGGCAGCGTTTCCTCGGGGAGGGGACAGGGGGTGGGGCGGGGGCGTGCACACCGCCAAGGGCACCTCTCACCTGAGCCCCGAGGCCCGTGGGGCTCCTCCGCGCCTCCCTCCCCGCGCCGGGCGCAGGGCGGCGTCTGCTGGTCTCTGCTGGCATCCGCCCCCGGAGGAGGAGGGGCCCTTGCTCTTGAGGTCTGGTCGGGGCGAGCTGAGCGTTACAGGTCGAGTCGCGTCCCCCCCACACCTTGTCGTGCATTTGAGTCCTAACCCCCGGAGCTCAGAACGTGACCTTTCCTGGAGACGGGGCCTCCACAGAGGTGACCGAGTCAGGATGAGGTCACTCGGGTGTCCCCAAGGAGCGGGGGCTTCGGACAGAGACGCGTGCAGAGGGATGGCAGCGCGGGGACGCACCTTAGGGGCCGAAGACGGGGGGCCTGGACGGGCCTCCCCTCGCGGCCTCGGGAGAGCAGCCCGCCCACCCCTCGGTCTGGGTCCCTGCCCCCAGAACCGACCCCGCGAGTTCGGCGGGTTAAGCCCCGGCCCGTGGCACCTGGCTGTCCCGGCCCTAAACCTGAGAGGGAGGAGGAGGAGGAGGAGGAGCCGGGAGCCGGTTCTCTGGGCCGGCGTGCAGGTGGCCGCCGGGTCACGGCGTCCGGCAAAGCGGGGGACGAGACACCCGCAGACACCCGGCCGGGCCGGGCGGTGTTGCGGTGTTTGCCCAAAGCGTGTTAACCAGCGTTTGGGAATCCCGGGTCAGAGGCCTGAACAGGCTGGCCGAGGAGGTTTTGTTTGAAGGTTCTGTTTGCCGAGCACGAGCACGGTGTTTTCGAAACAAAGTAACCCCAGGGTGTGGGCCACAGGAGGGGAGGTGGGGGCGGTGCGCCGAGAGTGCGCGCTCCTCCCTCGCTCAGCCGGCCCGAGGCCGCCTGACCCGGGCACGCTTGGGCCACGGGTGCTGGGGGTCTGACTTCACGCCCGTCCCCGCGGCCACTTCACGCTGGCCGTCGCCCAGTGAGTGGCAGCTGACCGGGCATAAAAAAAGAGGTGGGGCCCACTCACCCCAGTGCAGCGAAAGGGAAGCAAGACCACAGGCGACGAGGGGTCTAGCGAGAGGGGCCAGCGGGCAGACTGGGGGACCGGGGTGTGGCCGCTGCAGCAGGGGCAGCGGGGGGCAGGGGGGGGGCAGGGTCCCCGGGCCCCGGGCGCTCACTCCGCTGCAGCCGCTCCCGCTCCCCGCGCAGCTGCCTCTGCTCCCAGCTCAGCAGCCTCAGGTGGGACCGGCAGGCGCGCTCCAGCCTCTGCAGGTGCTGGCGCAGCCTGGCCTCGGCCTGCCGGGCGTGCGTCCGCTCCGAATCCAGGCGCCTGCGCAGCCGTCCCCAGGCCTCGCGCCCCTCCATCCCCTGCGCGGCCTGCGGACGGCGGGCCGGGTGCTCCCGGGCACCACGGCGGCCCCGGCTTTCCTCCGGCGTCCGGGTGTGAATTCTGTGTGTTTCTGACTCCTCGCCGACCTGGGGGGACCCTGCTCTGCAGAGAAACGCGTTCCTGGGGGACCGGGGAGGGTGGAGGGTAAGCCGCTCCCCAGCCCCTCGGTCTCCAGCGAGTCAGTGACAGGAGGCAGGCGGGCCCCCCAGCCCCAGCCCCAGCCCCAGTCCCGTGCCGGCTCTTCCGAGGACAGGGTCCCGGTCGGGGACCGGGCGGAGAGCCGGCCCTCGAGGAGTCTGCAGGTCGGTGACCGGAGTCAGTCGGACAGTCCATCTTCCAGAAAGTGTGAAGGGTCACGGAGAGCACGGACCCCGAGGACGGGGCGTCTGGGGGCTCTGGGGGCCCCTCTGGGACCGGACACGGCTCCTGGGCCCGAGCTCGGCTGTTTGCCCGGAACTGCCGCCCTCCCCGCCCCGAGGACCGAGGACCCAGCCCAGGGCGACTCCTCTCCCCACCGAGCTCCGTGCACCAACAGGCAGGGACGCCTCCCCCGCCCTGGGCCCCTCGCGGTACCGTGAGCCCTGTGCTGGGGGGTGGGTGGGGGGGGGAGAGTTTCTGTTACAGCAGCAGCTTAGCAGTCTGAGCCTGGACAGGACAGGGGAGCAGTGCTTACCTGCAAGCCCGGTGCTTGCCACGGGGAGGCCTCGGGGCCTTCCGGGGTCTGGGTGAAGGAGCCCCGTTTCCTCTGGCCCGCCCGCCCGCCCGCCCGCCCGCCCGCCCGGGGCTGGGCCTGGGGGTCCGCCCGCCCAGGGCTGGGGCTGGGGCTGGGGCTGGGCTGCCCGAGGGGCCGTGGAGTGTGGGCTGCAAGGGAAAGAGCTCCACACCCCTCCCCCGCTCAGGAATGCCGGCTCCCCGGGCAGGCCCGTCCCAGCCCTGAGTGGCTCTCGGTGGCTCTGCTGCCAGTGCCTGCCCTCCCCTGGCCACCCCCCCACACCGTGTCCATGGGAGCAGGGAGGGACAGAAAGCATGAGAGTCCCAGCCCTCACCCCCCTTCTCCTCCACTCTGCCATTCCCCTCCCCTCCCCCACCCCTACTTCTCAGCTTCCGGGCCAGGCCCCAGAGGAGGCACCAGGTCCTTGTCCTCAGAGGGGGCACATGTGTCTGCGGGGGGGGGTACAGGAGGGGATCTGCGGACCTGGCCTTCCCGCTGCGCCTCCTGTTTCCCTGCTGACTATTCGGGTCTCCCAGGTTGTGGCCACAGGCGCAGTGGGACTCCCTCCCTTCCCCTGGGGACAGGCTGCAGTGGGCCAGGCCCCCTGCTGGCCGTGGGGCAGGGGTGAGGTGGGGCTGTTGCCGTCGCCTCAGCTTCGTGTCGGAGCAAGTGGGCTGAGGTCCCGCGGGGTTGGAGAGTGTCCCCGGAGCTCCCGGGGCGGAGGCCAGCCCAGCCGGTTACCCGCTGTCACCCCAGCAGCAGGCTTTCCCCGGGGACCCCTGCGGGTGGCGGGGCCCGCCCCTCCCCTCCTTCCTGTGACGGGGTCCTCTCCCCCGGAATCTCAGTGCCGCCGCCAGGGTGGCTCCCGGCCGGGCCACCAACCCGAGCAGGCATCTCAGCGTCATCTGAGGACCCGGCAGGGCCCAGCGCACCCCCACGCCAACCGTGGGGCGTGGTGGCCCTGGGGAGGGGGTGGCAGCGGGACCTCGGGGGCTCCGGGCCAAGTGGGGGGGTCACAGGAGGGAGCAGAAGCTGTCCCTAGAGGGAGACTCTAGGTCACAGAAGGTCATGCTTCACCCCGAGCAAACACGGAATCATGGGCAGGGCCGCAGGCGGCCGATGGCAGGTGGACGCCCCCCTGACAGCCACGCGTCTCGAGTGCAGAGGACAGCAGGGCCCACGGGTCTGGACTGACCAGGGCTGGACCAGAACGCTGTCCCCAGGAAGGACGCTGCCTGGTCTGTTCCTGCCGGTGCCTCAGACGGGCACAGTGTCCGCACAGAGGGGAGGAGACAGGGCCGCCCGCCCCCGCCCGCCCCCACCCGGTCCAGGGGCCGGAGGCAGAACAGGGACGGAGCAGGCCACTCTCCTTCGCTCCACCCCTCGCACCCCGGCCCGGCAGGGACCCAGGTGCGTGAGCTCGGGCCTTCGGTGCGGACTGGCCCGTGTCACCGCCATGGGGGTCTGCCTCGACGACGCCCTCCAGGCAGCAGAGTGCAGAGGGTGGTGGAGGGAAGCCGTCGTTTCAGCCTCTAAGGAAGTCGCAGGTCTGGGCAGCCGCCCTCGGCCAGGGAGGGACTCACAGCGGCCCCAGGGACACCACGCAAGCCCCCGGCCTGGGTCCAAGTCCCCGAGAGAAGGAAGACCAAGCAGCCCAGTGTCCTGAAGACGCTCGGAACAAACGGCACCTGAGTCTCATCGAACCCGGACGTCTCGTGGCCGACGTCCAGAATTCTGAAGACGCTGTCCGGCAGCCGGGGAAAGCCAGACCGGAGTCAGGGCCTCTCTGCCGGGTTCTCCGGTGTCTCTGCCGAATCGAGGGCGAGGGGGTGACTCGGAGAACGGGCCCCTTGTCACGACGTAGCAGCCCGAGGAGGAAGCCACCAAGGTGGAGGGCGGGCCCCTCCAGGCCCTCGTCCCACCCACCAGCTGGGGTGGGGGGCGCCTTTGGGATGGTGCGGGGGGGGGGGGGCACCCGAGCCGAGTGCGGGCTAGAGGACCTTCACACATTCTCGCTGCTTTCTCTGGTCGCGGTGATGGCTCGGTGCTTCGCTGACAGAGTGCTTGTCGGCCAGGGACTCGGCCGGGTGTCTGCGCCCAGGAGCAGTTGTCTGCTCTGACACCGTCCAGCAAAACGGGACAGAATTCCAGCGCGGAGGGCCGCCTGCCAGAGTGGCAGGGTGGTGGCCACGGAAACCGGGATTTGGGCACGAAAGGGCCCATTATCTGGGCCTCCCTAATTTTGGAAATGTTGTCAATTTTCCGTAATAAGTAGTTAGCGTTCTTCTGAGACAACCAGGTTGAGGGTCGTGCGTTTCGCCGACTTTTCCGCGGAAATAATAGGAACCAGAACACAGCAGACTGTCTTCAGTGTCTCGGAAGACAACAAGTGTTTGACCTAAAATTTGATACACGGGAAAATGAGGGCATTTGCAGACGAACAATCGGAAGGCAGAGTCCGTTCTGCACTAAATGACGCTCCGCAGGGTGCGTCCCCAGAGGCGGGGCGAGGGGCCGCACGCCGCAGGTGAGGGCACGGCGGACCGCAGGTGCGTCTGAAGGAACCCCGTGGCCGCCCGGCCCCTGGGGCGCCAGGCGCGGAGGCAGTGGCTGCAGGCGGCCGAGCTGGGGGGGCCGAGGGGCCGAGGGGCCCGGGGCTCCGTTCCCGCCCGAGAGAGAGGGTGGAGACGTCAGTCAGTGTTCCCCCTCCGTGAAGTGGGGTCCACGTGGCCACTCCCCGGGTGGGCACTAACAGGACCAGAGAGGGAGAGAGATCGGGAAGGAAGAACGAGTACGATGGGCGTCTCCACCGAAGTGTCGCAGTCAGGGTGTGAGGGCCTGCCCGGGTGGGTGTGTGAACCACCCGGCACCACCAGCCTGGCCGCTTGACCCTGAAACGGCGATAAACACCTGCGAGGGGGGACGGTGAAATCCTCTGAAGTGTCTCGGCCCCACGGTGGTGGCTGAGCCGACCCGACCCGGACGTGTTTTAAGGTGGGTCCCCAAACCCAGACCCGAGGTAAACAGGTGAAAGCTGAAACACCTGTCAGGAGAAGCGGACGGCCCGCATCCCGTGGGTCAGGAACTGAGGGACGCACTCAGGAAGCAGGCGGGACGGGGCGGGGGGCGTGTGGGCAGCGCCAGGCCACCCCACCCCCGTGGCCGTGTGTAGGCAATCTCCTTGCCTTGTAGGAAGGTTCCAGAAGCTGCCGCAAGGTGCTTCCGCTCAGGATGCATCGACCCGGACCTATTCAGAGGGCAGCGTGCTGTGCTTTCTGGGTGGCCACGTGCCCCCCGAACCCCCCGGGTGCCGTTGCTGTGGAGGAAGAGGAGCTGAGTTGCTCTAGGAGACGCCTTGGTCCGGCGGATCCTGCAGAGGCTGGGAGCTGAGTCGCTGACGTCCGCCCCTTGGTGGGGGCAGGCGGGGACAGCGCGGTGCTGCTTACTGTACAGCTCTGTCTCATCCCGTGTGGCGGGACTCACTCATCAGGTGCCTGTCCAGGTGGCCACGTGCTGATACGAGTATTTTTAGATGTCATATTTGTTTTTTAAAGGTTTTATTAATTTTTAGAGAGGGGAAAGGAGGGTGAAAGAGAGGGAGAGAAACATCCGTGTGCGGTTGCCTCTCTCATGCGCCCCCTACTGGGGACCTGGCCTGCAACCAGGTCAGGCATGTGCCCTGACTGGGAATCGAACCGGCGACCCTTGGGTTCACAGGCTGATGCTCAATCCACTGAGCCACACCAGCCAGGGCACTGCTATGAAGTTCTTTAGATTTGACTAGAAACAAAGCAGGAGCCCACGCGGGCATGCACCCTCTTAGAGAAATCCAGGTGCCCTGTTTAGCTGGCCGACGCCGGGGTACAAACAGCTGGGTCTGAGGGTGGAGCCCCCTGCCCCCCCGATGATGTTCAGGAGCTGGCCCCTCGCCCTGGCTGGGGTGGCTCCGTTGGTTGGAGCATCGCCCTGTAGACCAAAGGGGCTTGGGTTCGATTCCCGGTCAGGACACGTGCCTGGGTTGTGGGTTCGATCCCTGGTCGGGGCGTGTACAAGAGGCAGCTGACCGATGTCTCTCCCCCCGCCTCTCTCTAAGGCGATGAAAACAGGTCCTCAGATGAGGGCAAGAAAACAAATCCGTCTCTGGCCTCGTCCTGAAATTTCCCCAATCGCTCGTCCTGCTGTTCACTTCCCGTCCGCCCTGCTCCGCCCTTCTCCCCGGAGGGCGTGGACCCCAAGGCTCTGTCCTTGGCCCACCCTCCCTGCCCTGAGGGCCCCCCCGGAGGGCCGGGCCGTCCTGAGAGGAGGGCAGACGCTGGTCTCTGCAGAGGGACTGGGGCGCTGACGTCACTGTCCTGCCGACGTCCTGCAGCGCCAGCGCTCGCCCCGGGCGACTGGGAGGCCCGTGCCCTAGAACGAGCTGTGTGTCTGTTTCCCGGCAGAGTGCAAGCGCCTGGAGAGGAGGGATTTTTTAAAAATTGTTTTCCCCCAAATCCACGTTGGCTCCTTCCGCCTGCAGGTCAGCGCCCGGCCCGCGCCAAGCGTCCAGGAAATGTTTGCTGGGAGAGGCATGAATCAGGGGAGAGCACCCCTCCCCCGGGAGCTTGCGTAATCAGGCCCTTCACGTTCCTGGTAACTCGGGGACCGAGAGCACGCCGGGGCTGCTCTCGCCGACCTGAAACCAGGGGCGTGTGTCTGAGAGGATGCCAGAGCTCCTGCAGCACTTCCCGTGGGGGGGGGTCAGACTGGGGACCCCCGTGTGCGTGGGGGTGCTCAGGTGGGGAGCGGGGGGGGTGCCCTCCCCCGATGCCCCCTTCACGCTCCCTGTGCACCTGGGCCCTCCCCCCTGCTTCAGGCTGAGCTTCCCACCCTCCCTCCTCGCGTCTTATCTCGAAGCAAACAGGTTCTGAGGTGTCGGGCTTCTGACACCCGGCAGCCGCGGCCACCGGCTGCCGGGATGCAGCTCTCGGGGGCACAGCAAGTGCCGGGAAGCGGGCTGTGCCGGGGTTTCCCCCCCTCGTCT